CTTAATATTTGATCGATCCAAAATCTAATAGATAAAAAAAGACAAATAACTTGCATTGCAAAAAGATTTATTAACCAATTTAAACACATCAGCAATTTCAGTGCTCAAGTGTCATTTTAACTTCAAGGGCGGCCAAACATTGACCTTACAACAGCCTTAAATTGATAGTTAAATGAAAGTTCGGTCAGTAATACACTCCCTCATGTTGTTCCAACCCCGTAAGACTTTCGTTAATCTTCGGAACACAAATGAAGATATTTTTGATTAAATCTGAAAGCTGGATCACTCCTCCATAGGCTTCTAAGGGACTAAAACTTGACTATTTTAACAATGTCTTTAAAAACTTTTTGGAGCCGGCAAGTTTTAGTTCCTCAGAAGCCCATGTAGGAGTGATCCAGCTCTCAGATTTAATCAAAAATATCTTCATTTGTGTTCCGAATATGAACAAAGGTCTTACAGAGTTGGAACAACATGAGGCAGAGTAATTACTGACCGAACTTTAGTTTTTGGGTGAACTAACCCTGCAGAGAATTAGGGAAATGCAACAATTTCTCAGTTTCAACACTACCAGAAATGCAGCTGTAGTTAAGTATTTCACTATCTCTACTCCAAATGTTGTCAACAAAAAAACAACACATTGCTGAAAATACATGGAAGCACAGAGTTTTTCCAACTAAACTTGTCGCAATTTTATCTGAACTAGACTGCTTCAAGACATGACAGGTACTTCTACTAAAATACTGGACCTATTACTTAAACTGTAGCCAGTCACTTAAAACATTCTTTACAGATTTAAACTGTGTGCAGAGCCTGAATTAGTCATTTAATATAACTAGAACTAGTTAGAAAGACCTTTAAGCTCTATTGTAGAGCTGGTCATAGAGCCTCTTCACTTTTTTGGTCATGCCTTTTGGGTCCAGGTCCATGATGACTTTCTGGATGTACTCAAAAGTCAGTTTCATTGTCTTAGGATACTCTAGATTGAAAGCATAGAGAAGGCCCAGAAGAATGGAAACCGCATTTGCGACAGAGGGCAAGCCGCTCAGAACCTCTTGACCCTCTAAAATGATGGCAATGTTTGTGGGTACACCTTGTGCATCTCTCATTACAACGATTGCGATGGTTTCTTGTTGAAGGACTTGTTCAGCCTCTTCCTTTTCTGAAAACTGGGAGGAAAAAAAAGAAAAGAGAAAGAATAATTAATCGATACAGGTTGTGTTTCCCCCCAGATTAAAGGTTACAAACAACTAATTATAAAATTGTTTTTCTATTAATTTCTTTTTGAAATATAAATATGTGCGAGTCTATGCGACTGTTATACAAGTCAGACTGTTTTCAGACATATATCTGAACAGTCAGCTGGCTAATTTTGAATTTGACAGCTTTAGCTAGAATTTTCCCATTGCTAAATAAATCTTGATTTACCAGGAAATCCTTGATGAGGTCCTCCACTTCTTCTCCCATGTAAACAATTACACTTTTTAGAGCAATCTCCCTCTTTACAGCAACGTCAGTATCCTGCATCAAGACCTGCACTTCTAGGGTTTTCTCCCACTACAACAGAAGCTATGATAGAGTTGAGGCCGATGAGATGTTTCCACCTGAGAACTCCAATATCCTGCATAAGAGAGAGAAGGGAATGAGAGAATCCCAGCCAGAACATCTTGGCAAAAGTCAAAAAATATAGAGTACTATAAATTAATTTATTTTATCATTTCAACAGATTTGAATAATCACACAGTAATTCATTTTAACTTTTTTAAAGCATCATAATATTGAAATTACATTATAAAAAGAGCTGTGTGCATCATTTATCAAGTTTTTATTTTTTATTTTAAGTAATTTCATTTTTTTTTTATAAAATAAATGTTTGCAATCATGCCAGTTTTTTGGGGGGGAGAAGACTTTCTCGGATGATCTCGTAATAGGCTATGTTGAATTGTAATATAAGATTTATTATAACACTGTAATGAAAGAGTGCAATGGATATTAGAGAAATTATTACTGTTTAACTACAGTTGGAATGGAGTAAGGAACGGAAGCAAAACTTATTCTAAACTATAGACGGTTTTCACCGACGTCACGTTCTGGGCGGTAACCCGGATGTACGGCCATTATGGAGGCACTCGGATGTAAACAACAGCATGGACTGCACTGTTTACACTAACTGAACACATTGTTCAGTTTCATTGCACACAAAAAAAAAAAACACAGAAAAAAATATGTGGTAGTTGCGAAATCATATAGAGAAGGACTTAAGCAGGAGAGAGTGCAAAATTGACAAATTAAAGTTAATATGTGGTAAATGTCGGAAATAGCTTCTCTAACCCGTACTGAAAATCTTTTTTTCTATTTCTTATCCTGACATAGCTTAAGTTCAGATTGTCAGTCCCAAAAAACACGTGAAATCTGTTCCAAGCTACATGTGATACCCACATTGACATTCTATGTTAAGTTAAACGTCAGGGGTTAGAGAAAACATGCCAAGTCTCTGCCGAAACAATGCTGTGCTGTTGCAAAGTGCCAGACGAGCAGAAAATTACGATTTCTGAAACATATTTCGAAACCAGCGCAAACAAGAGCATGGAAAAATCTGTACTTAACAGCCTCCAGTTCTGCAGCTCAAAACGCAGTATAGTCCATGGCGGCGGTGGCTAAACATTTTCATGTTCTAAAATTTAAATAAGACAACATCTCTAATGCAAATGCAAACCCTTCCTTAAGTGTCAATGTCAGTGCCGTATTGCCCAACAGCTGCATGGACTCACAAATCGGATCTGAACAGTTGCGATACACTGTGGACATAATTTTAGATCAGATTTCAATCGGACACAAAGATAATCGGATTTGGACTGACAGTGAGTGTGAATGTAGCTATAGTTAACTACGTCAACATTTTAGCCATATTCAAAGCTTCATTTAACGTTACACATGATGATGTGGTTGATACAGATGCTGTGCCTCTCTCAACCACAAACGCCTTCTTTCATCAGTTTTTGCACTCTTCTCTTTAACTTTTGGCTGTCTATAGAACTCGAAATGTTTTTCCCAATGCGACCGATTAGTACAGACCAAAACTAGACCTTTTTTCTGCAGAAATAATCAGTGAAATTTGCGAGTCCGTTCAAATCAGTGGCATTGTTTATGTTCAGTGCCTCCAAAATGGGCGACTTCCGGATTGATGACGTAACTTAGCTCTTACAGCATCCTGTGTTTGAATTCAACGTGCCGTTACGCTTTACTGCCCCCCTGTGTCCTATGGCTAGTACTATGTTTCTGTTTAAAAACCAACCGACGTCGCCGGATTGGCGCCAATGCAGCATTTTTTTTTTTGCCAATGGAGAAATATTAGAAATAAATTGCGTATTTCGTTAGTCATAAATGCGCTACCGAACCATTAAACCAGCCCCTTAACATGTATGTTAGCTTATTCACTTAAGTTAGTTGATCAGGTTAATTGTTTTAACATTATTATACGGCTGACTCGAATTACGTTCAGTTCAATGCTTAAACGTTCACGTTAATCACCATTGTAAAATCAAAATAAGCCACGGGTTTTCTTTAAACGTACTATGTTGCGTTTTGAAATCGGTCAGGAATTGATTAACGTCGACATATTGTGTAAAGTTATAGCTAACGTTAGCCAACACTAACATTTTCAAACTGACGTAAGTTACATAAAATTGGCAAAAAAATTATGTTAAGCTACCATTACTATAAATACAGCCGCACATTTAACGATAAATGGTTGTTTATTTCACTTACCAGAGTTTTTCTGCGATGCATGCAACTTGATTCTCTCTTGTCTGGTCCAGTAATGGTTGATTGTGATCCACCACGGAGAGACTTGAAGAGCGATCTGGTGACTGTCACTGGTCGAGCGCTGGCACGTGACGTTTGTAACCTTGAAATTGTACATTCGTCGAAACAATTTTTTCTTATTTAAGATCTTAATGAAAAATATTTATATTTAGAAATGTTTAGAACGAAAAAAAAATAAATTGAAGAATAAAACTAATAATAGTAAACTGAAATGAAAGAAAAAATATTAATTGAACGAGGTACTGCTTGAAAACCTTTTTTCAGTGTTGTAAGCTGGTGTGTTGGGATCTTGGGATACCTTATCAGCTAATCATATTGCAAAATTATCATTTTGAACATCCATTGATTTCATATCTGTGTCTGGATATTTAAAAATGCTGCATTCCGAGGAAGGCATCAATGCACGTCAGAATCCAATGTTAGCTTCACTCCGTCTCCTGAAATGGCTTCATCTGGCCGATTTTTTAAGGCAACGTAGATATATCCTTCGCTGTCTGTGCTTTCCATTTTGTTACAGTTGAGCTAGAAAAAGAAAAATGGCGTCTGAAAGTTGTGGTTGGTGGTCAGTTTGTGTGTAAGTGTACATTTTTAACCAACGTTGTCAACTTCATTTCTACCAAGAAATTACTATCATGAATGTCCCTGTGATTAAAACAGACTGGTATCTTCAAAATCTTAGCTACTAGTCATCTGAGCCTGACCCTTCCAGTCATTTCGACATTATTTCATCATGACCACGCATGCTGTAGATTTTTTTTCTGACCACAAATCACCATCAAACCACTTTTGTTCTGTCTGTTTCTATTTATCTGTCTATCCATCTCTCTTTCTCTGTCTTCCCATACATTTAGGTAACTGCCGGTCCCAGCCAGACATCTGAGGATGAACCACGCCATGTTTTCTCTTTTTCCTGGTTAAATGTGCCAAAATAAAATCAGTTGGTAACCCTGCAACATCCCAGTGACCTTCCAGAAAATCCTGTTGTTCTTCATAACTAATATTTTGTTACTTTGACAATCATAAATACATTGAATGGATAGGAATTTGAAAAAGTAAAAACCACAACTGTTAAATATTAAATGATGACAATCTTTACTGAAGTAGCTGACTAAAAATGCAAAATAAAGATTATGAATAAGTGTATTAACATTCTCTTTTGTATGTTAATATTGGCTGTTTCTGTGGGAATACATAATACATTATAAGATAGGAAAATTATACATTAAAAGGGTAGGAAAAGGCCAAACTGGATAAAAAGAAGGCAAACACAAATTATTCACAGAAGTAAACCATAATGTGTTATATTACTTAAGAAATTGAATCAAAAACATTTTGAGTAGTTCATTTTTATTTTCCTAAATCGTCCAAAATTTTGCGGTTGTTGCTCGCGCGCTGGGCCAGTTGTTCGGCTCGCGCCATCTGCAGCACCTCGCGCAACAGGTGAAAAGTCAGATCCAGCGAGATTGGTGGATCCTCAGACCGGCGCTCACGTTCCACGAATCTGTTCATGATCCCGCCGTTACCGACACTACCGACCTTACCTCCTAACAGCCGCTGCAGCTGAAGAGGCTCGGCGGGGGACGGGGGTCTCCGGTCGGGCGCGCGCGGACTGTGAGCGCCGTTATCCAGTTCAATGAAGTACTCCAAACGCATCGGAACTGGCAGCTGCGTGTCTGTGTGTCCTGGAGCGGACTCAGACAGCGAGACGAAGACCCAGAGAGACACCGCAGCGAGTTGGACGTGCAGCTTCATTGAGGGAAATTCCCAGGAATCTGAATAATATACGATACGAGTATGCAATAGGTGATAGAAATGTTCACAGAAATGTTTTCTATTTAACACAAAGCTTTTATTACAAAGAAAGTTTGAGAATATATTTGGTATTTATTTTATTTAGTAGCCTATTTTTCTTTAATGACAGCATATGATCATGTTCTTCGGCATAATAAATCGAGAATAGCCTAGAGACTAGGCCTATTCCAAAGAGCATTTTCAGTGAAAGAACATCTGACTTTCGCACACTGTAAAAAAATGCTCTATTATTTTCACAGGATCTCTTTTGTAGGCGTGTGTGTTGAGTTCATGCTCACCTGTGTTCTCCGGATGTTGAGAGAGTCTGCTGTCGGTGTAGCGCGAGCATCGCAGTTTATTTATATGACGCGAGATTATTTCGGAGATGACAGTCACCACATTTGGCTGCGGTTCAAGTCAGTAAAAAAGGAAAATGCTCTTGAATTCCGTCCTGTGTTTAGTGTAGGCTACTGTAGATTGACTCGAGGGGCAGTCTCCTCTGAATCCTCTGAATCAATCATAATTGGCAACTGAGAGACTGCTGATGACGCCGAGGGAGGGCAGTTTACGTCATTCTCAGAAATTTGACTATTGTTTTTGGATTAGATTAGTCTTGTCTTGTGTTTAATAACGGCAAGAAATTAAATAGTTTTTATTTAGATAAAAAAGAAAACTTTTTGTGTGCGTGTGTGTGTGTGTGTGTGTGTGTGTGTTGATGTGCTGAGTTCCTGATAATTTATATTATTCTGGGATTTTATATTATTATTATTATTATTATTATTAATTATTGTTATTACCTATAGACAGATTAATTAGCCTATCTCAGAGTGGTTAATTTGTTAGAGAAAGTGTTCTGATTAAGTCAGTAAAACACAAGTTGCTCCACCTTTCAGTTCAACAAAATGAATTAAAAAGTATTGTTGTATAAAACACTGGCAGTTATAGGCTATATGTATGCTATATATAGCCTAACGAAAAAGTACTTCATATAGCCTACTTCATAAAGTTCATAATTCATTTTATTGTTTTAATTTAGCAAATTTTGCAGAAAAGTATGCAGTTTAAGCCCCCATTGTGACAATTTAAGTCATACAGTGACAATCTGCCCTTCTATTGTGTAAAAAATATAGGGGTTGGATGGGGGAAGATGCCCCCCTTAAGAACAATGTGGGTTTACTTTTAAATTTTAACGTATTTAGAATGTTTAGCATGCAGGATGATGATGCATCAGCCAAAGTGTTATATAGGAAATAGAAACATTAATTTCACTTACTGCTAATTAGTGTAAATCAAAGCTAATCTATTAAAACTATTGTATTTAAAAATGTATTTTAACAATTTGGTTGATAATAATTGAATAACCGATGTCAGTCAAAGCCGAATTCCAGTAAAATATGAATCTGAAAGGTAAAATTATTCTACAAATTATATAAAGACATTTGAATATTTACTTAATTATTTGCCCTATTTTAATTGAAGATATGTCTCAATAGCAAAAGCAGAATTCCAGTATAAAAGAGATTAATCTGAAAAGTAAAATTATTCTATGACTTTATGGAATATGAATATTTACTTTACTCTATTTAATTGCCCATATTTTAAATGAAGATATGTCATAATAGCAATTATGAATGCAAATTAATGATTTCACTCAACTAACATAGGTTTTAATGAAAGCAAAATAACATTAAAACTAAAATAAAATAACAACGCTAGTTAAAGATAACCACTTGGGTCCTTCTGTGCCAATTCTGTGGGAAGGATAATCTTACCCAAGGGTATAATTTTATCTTTTTACTTCAAAATATTTTATTCCATTTTATTTTTTTTATTTTTTATTTTATTCTTTTTATTCCACAAATCTCTCTCTCTCTCTCTCTCTCTCTCTCTCTCTCTCTCTCTCTCTCTCTCTCTCTCTCTCTCTATATATATATATATATATATATATAAATATAGATACTCCTTCAGTCGTTACTTATGCACGATACAGCACAGCTTCTCGTACCTTATTACTTTTATAAAACGCTTACCACACAATAAAAATATTAAAGTAAACAAAAAAATATTAGTGCAACTTTCATGAAGTAAAATCACTAAAAGCCTTCCTTCCGCTAGAAAAAAGTCCCTGCCCGTGAACAGCAAAAATTACAAAGGTTCCAATCCTATGGTTCCAATGTGTGAAAGTTAAAATAAAAACAACATAAGAACCTCAGGGTTGCGCAGTGATAAATAGAACCGTTGGGAGCGGTCATAGCCGAGTTTTATCCATGGTTTATCATGAATAAAGCACTGGAACTAACCGTTTTATAAATATAATGTGGAAAAAAGAAGATAAGACGATATATATATATTAGACACTTGCCAACATACACAGTAGCCTAATGTTTCCGCCTCATGGGCGCATACCTGTCAGCAGGTGGCGGACGTGTCTGCAGGCGGGCTCTAGAGGGCACGAGCAGAAATCATGGCAGGCGGTGAGAGAGTCGCTCATCTGATGCGCCAGCTCGCGAGCGCGGCGTAAGTTTCTGTATTTCTGTTCGTTTAATCGTTAAGTTATTAAAGTGTGTGTTTAGTCTGTGCACTTTCATATTTCTATTTCTGTATAGGCTATTATCTGCACTCAATGCCCTGAGAGTTGTAAACAAACCCTTAAAGTCATAGTCCACCCCCCACCATTATTTAGTCTGACACACTCAAGTTGTTACAAAGCTGCGTGACTTTTTTTCTTATGTGGGAAAAAAGAAGATACTGTATTAGGCAGAAGAATGACAGCATTAGTCTCAGTTTAAGCCTACTTTTATTGCATTTTTTTCTCTCTCGCCAGAATGGTTACTGAGTCGTCCTGCAAGCACCTCCTTTTTGTTTTACACAGAATGAAGTAATATAGATTAGTGTCTATTTTCAGTAGTATTTATTTTTTTTTTTTGCATGCCATATGTTTTATAGGTGCAGATGTCCTGCTCATTCTCAAGCGTATTCTCACACTCATAACCGAGGTAAGATATTTATTCAGTATTATATTTATTTTTATTCAGATATTTCTCTGAATAAAATAACTATAATATGTGAGTGTGTTTCATATGTGTATTTTCTGCAGGTGAGGCTCATATATGTGAACGCAAAACAGACTACGCATTTGAAGTAAGCGCACAACATGCATGTATTTATTATGTAATTATGCATTGTGGAATATAGTTTTACCACTTATCGTATAGTTGTTTTAATATTGTGTTAAATAGTGAAGCGAAGACATGTGAGATTATAATGGCTAGCCTGTGAATATCCAAGAATAGAATCATAATATATTTCTATAATAATAATAATGATAATATATTATATAATAAAATAATATAATATAATTGTTTATTGTTATTGGGGTTATTCATTTCATTTCTGTTGTTCTGTTTTAGATGGCTTGTTCAAATATCAGATTTGGAGCAGGAGTTACCAGAGAAATTGGAATGGTAATAGCTATTTTTTTTCACCCAAAAATGACAGTTGTATCATCATTTACTCACGCTCAAGTTGCTAGTGTATTTTTATGAACGCCATTTGTACTGATTAGGTTTTATTATAGCTCATCTTATTGGTCTCTCTCTTTACTTCATGTCAGTCCTGTTTTGGATTTGTCAGTGATTGGTTTTGCTGTTTTGGCTGATTTATTCAGGATTTGCAGAACATGGGAGCACATAATGTGTGTCTGATGACAGATAAAACCCTGTCTCAGCTGCCGCCGGTTGCAGCAGTGCTGGACTCACTGACAAAACATGGAGTCAAATACAAGATCTATGAGGATGTGCGAGTAGAACCAACTGACAAGAGGTTAAAAACAAATGTGACAGAAAATGTGCTGATTTTTGCCAGTTTTTGCTGATGACATTATACGTGTTTCTGATTATAAACAGAACACAGAAGTGAGTGAACACAACTTCTCTTTCTCTTTTCAGCTTTAAAGCAGCAATTGATTTTGCCAAAAAAGGACATTTTGATGTGTATGTTGCTGTGGGCGGGGGCTCTGTGATTGACACCTGTAAAGCAGCCAATCTCTATGCATCTCATCCAGAGCCCGAATTTCTAGACTTCGTCAATGCCCCAATTGGAAAAGGAAAACCCATCACAGCCGCACTGAAGCCATTAATCGCTGGTACAAAGACATACACACAGCCAAACTTAATATTACTTTTTTTCTTCCTTTCTGTCTCTCTCTCTTGTTAATGGTGACCATTTAGCATGTGCATATAACTACAGAGAGAGACCAAACATTGACCACAGACCAACCGTCTATTTACTGTAAAGTAGAACTGATGTGCTGATACATAACATTACATTGTTTTGTTTTTTACATCTTGTGCTTCTGTATGTCTGTGCATGTGTTAGTTCCTACTACAGCTGGAACGGGGAGTGAAACCACAGGAGTGGCGATCTTTGACTTTGAGGACATGAAGGCCAAAACTGGTTTGCTGAAACATTTTACTCATTAACATTTCGTCTCTGTTCTCGGTATGCTACGTACAGAATTCTGAAAGGTTGAGTATTAAGTAATGGTTAAATAGTTAAGGTGTAATGATAGAGGTTGAAGTTTTTGAACTGTGTTTGTTTGTGAGTTTAACAGTTTAATGTGTGTGTCTTTTCAGGTATTGCAAATCGAGCATTAAAGCCTACTTTAGGGATGGTTGATCCCCTACATACTCTTCACATGCCATCTAGAGTTGCAGCTAACAGTGGTTTTGACGTGCTCTGGTGTGTGTTTACATGTACACTCTATTTATTTACCATATTCAAACCAAGGCAATCACTTAAAGATCATTTCCTTTAGTGTACAGCAAGAAAATGTAAGTATACCGACAGAAAGCACTGATTCGACAGTTTCTGGTTGTGCTCATTTTATGCAAACCTGCTCTATTATATTCCCATTGGTGCTTTTAACATTTTGAATAAAAGGAGATTTTTTTATATTAACATGATTGACAAAGCTGAATTTTCAGTATCATTACTTCAGTATCAGTCTTCAGGGTCGCATGATCCTTCAGAAATCATTCTAATATGCTGATTTGTTGCTCAAGAAACATTTATTATTATTATCAATGTAAAAAACAGTTTCTGTGGAAACCATTCTTCATTTTTTTTTAGAAATATTTTTAACTTTAAAACAGTCTTTACTGTCACTTAATTAGTTTAATGCATCCTTGCTGAATAAAAGTATTCTTTTTTTTAAATCTTATGGTTAGATTATGATATTCATAGTGTTTGGTTGACTATACTATATATTCTTTTATTCTTTATATTCACTATATTCATTTTTTTTTTATTCACTATATTCTTTTTCTTTTTAGTCATGCATTAGAGTCATTCACTGCATTGCCGTATAACCTGAGAAGTCCCTGCCCACCCAACCCCATAAATCGCCCCGCTTACCAGGGCAGCAATCCAATCAGTGATGTCTGGGCAAGACACGCTCTCATGATCGTTGCCAAATACCTGAAACGGTATGTTGAGTGAGGTCATGTTATTATTTGTGATTTATTGAATATTTGGGTACATCTCGACATTTTTTTTTGTTTATACATTTTAAAAAGATTATATTTATATGTAATATTGTTAAGATATGAATATGTTTGTGTGTTGTAGGGCAGTGTGTGATCCCGGAGATGTGGAGGCTCGCACCAGTATGCACCTGGCCAGTGTGTTTGCCGGAATTGGCTTTGGCAATGCAGGAGTCCATTTATGGTAATTAAAGATAACTAACATTAAATTAACATCAAAAAGTGTTTATTCTGGCAGCATCGAATCACAAAACAATTAAAAGACTGCTAATGGAATTGCTAGTGCGGAACTGCAATCATTTTCCATATTTGCACATATCAGAACAGAGAGCACAGGTGGACTGAATTTATTGCTGTGAGAGTTTAAGGAACGGCATAGAGATTTTGCAGCTGTGCAATGATGTGCTTCCAATAGTTCCAATTTTTCTGTTGATACTGTATGTATTTGTGGAAATTATCTGATAATGCCTTTTTGATTATTCTTTTTTCTATGTTCAAGTCATGGAATGTCATATCCCATTGCCGGGAATGTTAAAACTCACAGGGCTAAAGGCTACAATGTGGAACATCCTATAGTGGTAAATATAAACTGCTCTACATTCAAAAGTTTGGGGTCAGTACGATTGTTTTAAATACTTATGAAGTGACAGTAAATTAATTTATAATGTTATAAACTATTTCTATTTCTTTTTTTTTTTTTCTTTTTTTTTTAATAATGCTGAAAACATGTATTACTGTTTCCAAAATAAAAGGAAATACGATTAGGTAATAATAATAAATGTTTCTTGAGCACAAAATCATAATGATTTGGCTGCTGAAAATTCAGTACTGCCATCATAAGAATTGTAAAATATATTAAAATTGAAAACTTTTAATTTGTAATACTATCTTAATACTATTTTAGCCTTGGTGAGCATTAGAGACTTAGAAAACATTCTTATTGACACTTTTTAATGATAATGTGTTTCTAGACTAATGCATGCAATATTACAATTATATGTTCTGTAATACATAATAGTACTGATTCTAGTACTAACATTAATATGTATTTTTTTTTTTATCGTGGTGGATTCCCAGTGTTTTTCACACTATAGTTTAACACTGTGCCTTTCTCTTTCAGCCACACGGACTCTCTGTAGTTCTTACTTCACCTGCTGTTTTTGCCTTCACTGGAACAATGTGTCCTGAGCGCCACCTGGAGGCAGCACAAATACTAGGTATCACACACTGAAGGCCAATCTCAAAATTCTCAAATATTTATTAACATTGAACATATGAAGATTTAAAATGTAACTTTCTGAAAAGTTCAAAAGTGTATTCATTTGGGTTGCTGTATTGGAAAGTGAAATGGTTATTGTGTAAAACGGATGTGAGGTGCATAGATTATGTGTTATTCACTGTAATTTGTGGATGATTTTGTAGAAAATGACACTTTTGAGAGCACTGTAAGCTTGAATTGATGATGGCTGGAGGTTTATATTACAGATTGTGTATGTGTTTCATTAGGTACTGATTTGAGCAACATCAAGAAAGATGATGCTGGCCGCGTGTTGGCGGACACGCTCAGGTCGTTTCTGTATGACCTAGAAGTGGAGGACGGCTTGTCTGCAATTGGCTACACTAAAGAAGACATTCCATCTTTGGTGAAGGGCACCATCCCTCAGGTCAACAAATCATGTCACGTCCCTGAACTAAAGTGCTACAGATCATTTTTTTGCTTAAAATTCTGCTACACCAAAAATCCTCTACAGCTAAAGCGACTGTCATTATTATTATTATTATTATTAGGTTACACTTTATTTGAAGGTGTCTGTGTTACAGTGTAATTATACATTTAAGTACTGAGTAATAATAATTAACTACATTGCACTTCCTTTAGGATTAGGAGTTGGTTTAGGGTTAGTTGCATGTAATTATGCATAGTTTATAGTTATTACTACAGTAATAACATGTAACGTGTAGCAATTTTAAATACATTAATATGATATGTTTTATAGCCGTGGTTTGAAATGCCACACTCAAACGCATATAACATTATGCTAGTTTCATAATTAAGTAAATAAAATAATTATATTATTTTATGTATTAAAACTATCTCAAGTGTAATGTACTGAGTTTGTTTTTGTGTGTTTTTCCCAGGAGCGGGTAACTAAACTATCTCCTCGAGCTCACACTGAAGAAGATCTGACCGGTCTGTTTGCTGCATCCATGAAGCTTTACTGAACCCTTGAAGGACATTTTAACATGTTGATGGTGTTCGCAGAAGCACAGCCTCAGATTAGCTGTGCTGATTTCATTATGTAAGCAGAGACACTGATCTGAACCAACTGACCCCTCTGAACTTTAATCCTTTCACTGCAATGTCACTGTCTTGAGCGAGAAAGGATTTAAAGTTTTGAATTACAGAACTATAACACACCCACAATCAGATACTATATGCTGTACACCAATCTAAATATTGTGTTTAATATGTCAACAACTTATTTAAACATAATCATCATAGTAATCATATTTAAACCACCCTGTATACACACACAGTACTGAGACTCTCCATTCACTGTAACTCTTATGGCTGATTTGTTATTCAGAGTGATTTAGGCAGGTTGGATTTAAATGTCTAATCTAAGAATCAGGATTAGACTTTACATTGCATTTGTTTTTTTGATTGAGTTTTTTTTCCCTCAATGTCCATGCAGCAAATCTAAAAAAATTCACAGAAATTCTGAAAATGAAATTCTGAAATATCAATGCATGCAATAAAATGCAAATACCATGATACATTTTGATGATCAGGGCTGTTTCTTGGCATATATGCAAACTAACCAGTTGCCCAAGGGGCACCGTTAGAGCTATTAACGTGCACTGTAAAAAAAAAAAAAAAAAAACTGAAAAACTTTTAAAAAAGCTATTCGTACTGCCTTAAAATTTTAAGTTTAGTCAGCTTGAAATGTGAAAATTGTGGCAACAAGTGAAAAAATTGTGGAAAAACGTGACAACTTGGATATTTGAGTTGACTGAATTTAAAATTTTAAGATAGAACAAACACTTTTTTAAGGAAAAAATAAAATAAAATGTTTTTACAGTGTGTCAACAACTAAATTCACAATGTGTTATTTGCATTTTAGCAGCTGATTATTAGCATAAAGAAATGGTTTTTAAAATGTTATTAAAAAGTCAGTGATCAGTGTATATTAAGATTGTATTGGCCTATTTAAAAAATTAATGGCGGCAAAAAATCGAAGTCGAGTCGAAAAACATAAAAAAAAGGTTGTGTAGGTTGTTCAGAAAACCTACATAATTTTCTACTGCATCAGTCACCATTTCAAGGAAAAAGTTATTAAATTACAGAAATGAATTAGTGAAGAATTGCAACTTCTAAGTAAACTGGTAAATTTACAACCAGTTTGTTTAGATTTGGATACTATGCACTCGAGATCTGTTAAACTGTATTTCTATCTAACAATGCTCTATATAGGGTAAATTGGGTCAGAAATGGCCCAGCTGATGAATGGTGGCCAATAACTTCACTAATAGTATGCCACTGATCTCCACGCAACTGATTTCATTTGAAACTGAGCTAAAAAAAAAAAAAATCCCCCCAAAATTTGATGCAGTGTACAGATGATTGCTTGAAAGATATTGAAATCAGAATACCTGTTCAAATATTTCTTACTGTATTACAGGCTAATAACATGGAAAGTGTTTAGTTGAATGACTGGGCATAGAATGTGAAGTGTGGTGTAATTAGGTGTAATTAGTTTAAGGTTTGAATGAGTTACTGTAAGTGCAGAGAGCTGACTTTTAGAAGCGTGTGATTGGCTGATCAAAGCTGTACTTGCAGCATTTAATCAACTGAAGTGGAACAGATTTAAATAGATTTAAGAGTGCTAACGCTTCCTAGAAAAGCACCTAACCAAGATCTCCTAATGTGAGTGCGTCTTTAGGGGAGTATTTAAAGGAAGGAGAAGGTTTAGCAATAGCAGTGATTCTGAAGGAATCGATAAAGTGTCTCAGCTCTTCTTACACTGTAGGTACATTCAGAGTTTGTGTGTTGTCTGACTTCATCATGCAGCAAATCTACACGCAGAGCCATGAAGAGTTTGAAGTGTTCACAACTGTGCTGTCTCCTCAAGGTTAGTCATCTTTTCATGCTCACTTTTTGATCATTCCTGTTAAATTTACCACTGTAATTCCTGCAAAATGATTCAATCTTACAGTTTGTCGAAAGAGAGTGATATTCAAGGATGAAGGAGAAATGGTACACATCTTTTTTTCATCTGAGCTGCTTTTCTGTTTTCTCATGTTCATACAGCAGTTTTTTTTTGAGCTGATGGTGAAATCACATGATGTTTTTTGTGTGTGAGATGGTTGTGGCAGCAGACTACAGTGCAGACTGTGATGAAGAGGTGTGTGTGCGTGCTGGTGAGGTCGTGTTGCTGCTGTATCAAGAGAACGCTGACTGGTGTTACATCCGACTTCAGAACGGAAAGGAGGGATACCTGCCTACAGTCTGCTTTTCTCTGGTATTCATGCACACAAAACACATTCAGTGCACAAATTATGCACTAAATGGCCTTCAGTACACTTGTGTGTGCTAGTTGAGCATTTCATTTCAAAACCATGGGTGTTCCTTGTGAAAAAAAAGTACTTTTAGAAAGAGTACACTGATTAAAAGCGCAAACTGAATGTAATGTTTTAGGACACTTACACTCTCCGAAAAAAAGGTACAAAAGCTGTCAATGAGGCTTTACCTTTTCAAAAGGTACACTTTTGTACCCAAAGGCATATTGCTACCTTAGTGGTACATATTAGCACCTAAAATGGACATATTAGCTCCTGAAATGTACACATTAACCCTTAAAATGTACATATTAGCACCTAAAATGTACATATTAACACCTAAATGTACATATTAGCACCTAAAATGTACATTAGGACCTAAAATGGACATATTACCTCCTGAAATGTACATATTAATACGTAAAATGTACATATTAGCACCTAAATGTACATATTAGGAATTAAAAAGTACATATTAGCACCTAAAAATGTACTTCTTAGCAATTAAAAAGTACATATTAGCACCTAAAATGTACATATTAACACCTAAAATGTACATTTTAGCGCCTAAAATGGAAAAAGGTTACCTTTTGAAAAGCTGCAGCCCTAGTGACAGCTCTTGTACCTTTTTTTTCCAAGAGTGTAATTGCATATTTGCAATTAAATGAAAATTTATTCTAATTTAAATTTATATTAAATGCATTTTGTTGAATTTAAGAGTGCTTTTTTGACCCTCTTAAGTAGGACTTTAGTACATCCTTAGATAGTAAATAGTTAATTTTATTTCATAATTAATTTTATTGTCTGGGAAATAAGTTTACTGCCGAATGTACTGACGAGCATTTATGGTAAACTAAAATATACTTTAATGTCAGTTTTGTATATCATGCATTTAAATATATTTGTGCTTTTGTAACGAGGAAGTTGCAATTGAGTATATTAAAATAAATTAATTTTTAGTATGATATAGAATAATGCTTCAGTGGTTTATTAAAATAATATTCAAATGCAATTATTTAAAATGTATTTTAAAGAAAACCTCATTTGAAATAACAACAAAGGGCACTTTTTACATGTGTACTTAAAGGGATGAATTTTAAATTTCTTCATTAATCACTCATCATGTTGTTCCAAACCTGTAAGACTTTCGTTCATCTTCAGAACACAAATGACGATCTTTTTGATGAAATCTTGAGAGCTTTCTGTCCCTCAGTTGTTCACTATGCAACTGACACTTTGACGCTTCAAAAAGTTCATGAAGAGATCGTAAAACTTATCCACATGAATTGAGCGGTTTAGTCCAATTTTTATGAAGAGACTCGATCACTTTATATGATGAACACGTGAATGAACCTGAAGCTGAAACGTGATGTGTAACACGAGAATGAACCTCCCACGTCAAACTGACATGCTTGAGCTTTCGTTTACCACAACTGATGTGTGAGTTGATGAATGTTTAGATGTGAACGAAAGCCTCAATTCAATCTGTTCATCCAAACGATGGCGTCTCTTCAGAAAATTGAGACTAAACCGCTCAATTCATATTGATTAGTTTTACGATCTTCTTATGAACTTTTCGAAGCTTCAAATTGGTAGTTGTGTAGCCGTCTATGGATGGAAGGAAATCTCTCAAAAAGATCTTTATTTGTGTTCCAAAGATGATCGAAGCTCTTATGGGGTTGAAACAACATGAGGGAGAGTCATTATTGACAGAGTTTTCATTTTTTTAGCGTCCTATCCCTTTAATTGTGTTAAGAAACAGTCATTAAAGTGTACGCTTAATTAATATACTAAATGCAAGTACAGTTTTAAAAATATATACTTCCAAGATTTATAGTACACTACATTCACTCAAATGATTTTCATAGTGGTTAATATAGGGAGATGCTCCCATTGTTGCTGCTTCTTCTAGAAAGGCTTTCTATTTCCAGAAATTGAGATGGCCTTCAAAAAAGAACTGTGATGCTTGAAGCAACATTAAAAACTAACTCCCAAAATTCTCACTGGCACACTTAAAGGAACACTCCGACTTTTTGGGACTTTAGCCTATTCACCTTACCCCCCAGAGTTAGATAAGTCCATACATACCTTTTTCATCTCCGTGCGTGCTATAAGTCTGTTTGACGCACCCACCGCTAGCCTAGCTTAGCACAAAGACTGGATGTGAATGGTTGCAGCTTTCATACTAATCCAAATGAGTGACAAAATAACGCAAACGTTTTCCTATTTACATGTTGTGGTCTGTATAGTCACAGAGTGTGCAAATATCAAGGCCATATGAGACACAGACATCTTTTGACCGTATAAATACTATATTTTCTGAAGGCGAAGCACTGCTACTTGGGCAGAGTGATAACAATCACCTGAGACGCACCGTGACGAGGAGCAGAGAGTTCGCTTCGCTCAGCGTTGGAATAAAGAGTCAGCAATTACTAACGTTAGATAGAAAAGCATAGTTTATCATGGGTGTTTGCTTTATTGTATGAGCTGTGACAATAAACAGGGGAGACCAGGTAATACAGTACCATTTTTAATTGATTTCCAACCAAAAACGCACCCAGATTTATAAATATCACATAAATAAATAATTATTATTACAGGAATCAATATATTTTAAATGCAATTTATTAGCTGAACCAAATGTATTCAACAGTAGCCTATAATATACAGTATTGCATTAATAGGATAGAATAAGGGGAAAGTAATAGCACAAATTATTTTTGCACAATGAACTCACAGCCTATCGTACCCTTTTGCACGCTCAAGTTCGTTATTTCCATGGTTATTTCAAATTTAGGCTACTAGGCGCGCCGCGCGCAGGGTGCAAGTTCAACGCGGTGAACGCGCTCGTTTTTTTCCCTAAGCGTGTCCGCACCGCATCAAGATAAAAACATATTCATACCCTAATCATATAATAGTGTCACTAACGTTACATTAGATCTGGCTAATTGCACTGTTACAGTAGGTCATCTAAAAACATAACGGAACACTTACCTCAGCCGCAGGTGATCCACTTGTCCTGTCGTGCTATAGATGGGATGGCCGTATCCTTCAGCACATTATGGTCCGTGTGGCAAATTCCATTTTTTCAAAATAGTCGTCCTCATTGAAATGTACCGAGCAAACATAATGTCCCGACTCCCTTGATAATCTTAGGTGTGTTTGGATAAATATCCAGAGTAAGTTAGCCATTTCATCATCCAGTCAGCGTTTTTAGTTGGAATTCTGTGAAACATGGTATTACCTCCCCTGTTTACAGTCGCAGCTATTTACAATAGAGCGAAAACCCATGACTCTAAACTACGCTTTTACTATTTATAAATAGCTGACTCTGTTACCCAAACACTGAGCGAACTCTCCGCTCCTCACCACGGCGTGTCTCCGGTGATGCGGTTATTACGCCGTCAAAGTAGCAGTGCCTTGCCTTCAGAGAATAGTTCCCAGGTTTTATACGGTTAAAAGATGTCTGTGTCTCATTTGACTTTGTTATTTGTACATTATGTGACTATACAAATCACAACATGTAAATAGGAAAACGTTTGCGTTATTTTGTCACTCATTTGGATTAGTATGAAAGCTGCAACCAGTCACATCCAGTCTTTGTGCTAAGCTAGGCTAGCGGTGGGTGCGTCAAACAGACTTATAGCACGCACGGAGATGAAAAAGGTATGTATGGACTTATCTAACTCTGGGGGGTAAGGTGAATAGGCTAAAGTCCCAAAAAGTCGGAGTGTTCCTTTAAGCTATCATATAAAAGCATCTAACGTGCTTAAGATGTTTGAACAGAACTGTATGTGTTTATGTGTGTGCAGAAGCAGGAGCCACTGAGGCCCATCGTGACTCAGGAGCCGCAGAGCTCAATGCAGGAGTCTTCAAATAATCGTAATGGCTATGCAGGGTGAGAGCTTGTGATGTTTTGTAACTCTTGATTTGTTTTTGTTGTACTGTGGGATCATTGGTGTTTGTATCCCTAGGGGGCGCTCTTTGAAACTGCTGCGGCGGGCGTCTCTGTCAGGAGTGCCGGGTTCACCTCGATTACTTAAGCGGCTGCTCTCTCGTCGACGTAGTGACGGACATGCAGTTCGTTCGATCGGCTCCATAAATCCAGCATTTAATCCTGACTGATGCATTCACCCTTAGAGCTCCACTTTTCCCTTTTAAATGGGTCACCGAGCAGCAGAAACTAGGACAGCATGACACTAAACGTTCAGTCCGTACGCAGCTCTTTCTTTGTGGAGGAGATAAACGGAAGTCGGGTGTCCTGGTTAGGGGTTGGGGACTCAGTAACTTGCCAGCTTGTGGAGTTGAATCTGCTTCTGGTATCAGGAGTCTTTACTATTAGGTTACTGGCCCACATGTAAATAAATACTATATGTAAATATTGTGGTTTTTATTAAAATGACATTTGAATTTCATTACACTGCAGTTTTAATGGAAACATCACACCCTTCGCCTAAGAAAATATTTGCTTGAATATATGTGTATTTGTTTAGTCTAATAATGCACAAAGACTACAATGATTTAGATATTGTTACAGTGTTTAAATATCAAATGAGTCTGTATGTATGTATTTATATATACAGTATATTAAAATGCTATTTTAAGAGGTATTATAGGGCGAATGTACAACATTTCGATTTTCATTTTAAACCCTTTTTTTTTGTACGAGTCATTCAATTTAATGTGGATAGGGGTCCACACACTGACTGATTGCGTTCTTCATATGGATAATACAATTTATATTTTAAAAAAACAAACTCAAATTGATTTGTGGAACTAGAAGTTAAATGTTTGTGGTTTGTAATAATGGATTCCTGCCCCTTGATTTAATTTTGGAGAATTCACTTGGAATAAAATAATAATCTTCTAACCACTGGAGCACTATTGAGTTCCCTGCAATGACATCTTAATTGAGGAACAACTAAAACTTATGAAATAGTCACTACAGTTGTATTTTACCCCAGTATGATTACTGTTAAATAATGAAGCTTAGTTTACCCTTGGTGCTGTTGAATTCTTAGGGGCTATTTAGCTTTTTTAGTGTGTAGGAGGTTGGCACACAGCTCTGATTGCTGCTAAATTTCCTGAAATGAAAGGTCCTTTTGTAATTCACAGTCTGACTATAATCATCACTTTAGACATAACGAGGGCAAAAGTATATCAACAGTAATTAGGTAATGTGTTACACTTAGGCTCAATTTGTGAATGCATTTGGTATGAGAGAAAACAATTTTTTACAGCAGCATTTATAAATCTAGATTATTTTTTATAAATGTACTTTTGTTCGACTTTGTTCACATTACATTAATGTTAATTTTTACAACCTTAAAAATGAATTCATTAAAGGAGTAGTTCACTTTAAAAAAAACTTTTGCTTATAATTTACTCACCCCCATGTCATCAAGGATGTCCATGTCATTCTTTCTTCAGTCGAAAAGAAATTAAGGTTTTTGATGAAAACATTCCAGGATTTTCTCCATATAATGGAGAATTCTCCATCTCATTTAAAAAAACAAAACAAAGTTTAAGTTTTATAGGCTCAAATGCTCGCATTTGCTCTGTTCTGTGACGCGCGTTCGTGACTCTCCTGTTCGAACAGTCTACTATGGTTCAAACTCGTTCATCAAAATGAACGAATCACTTTTTCGTGTCATTTGGTTCATTCAAAGAACGAAATGAACAAGTTGACTCGAGAAAAGATTCGTTCATTTTGAACGAGTTTGAATAGGAGAGTAACGAACTATAGTTATAGTGAACTATAATCATAACTGGTTACAATATATTTATAATGTCAAATAAATGCAGTTCTTTTGAACTTTCTGTTCATAAAAGAATCCTCAAATTAAAAAAAACACCAGTTTCCACAAAAATGTAAACTCTTTTCTGCATTGATAAAAATAAATGTTTCTTGAGCACCAAATCAGCATATTATACTAGAATGATTTAAGAAGGATCATGTGACTGAAGAGTAATGCTGAAAATACAGCAATAAATAAATGACAATTTAAACTATTTTAATTTATAATCATTTCATATTATTATTTGAACAGCTGTGTGTAGAATTTGACTCAGAAAGTGACTCAGAAACAGTGACCACATCGTTTCATACAGATGGAATAACTTTATTGTTGTTAAGCTGAAAAGTAATCAAGCATGCAAACGGCAGATTCCTCAGCTGCGTAGAAACGTCCATCTGTTTCATTGAAAAACAGAGGAGAAACAATCCAGAAGGAAAAAAACAAACAAAACAGATTCAATATCTGTACAGATGAAAGTATAATACAATATATACCACTATTGTACACTGGAATACAATATATCAGGAGGGCAGCAGTCACAGAGAAACAATCTGCACTTGAGTCTGTTACATGAAGCAGTAAACATCTCTTTGTGCTGCTGTGCTGCTTCTTTACACCAACAATATCAATTATTTTCAAGAGCTAATAAACACGCCCACACAGAAAAGTGCTCTGGTATAAATGTTGCCGACTTAAAAAGAAAAAAAAAATTCTTTTAAAAAGCAAAAGCTTATCAGGGCCTCTAACGTCATCATGCTTCACTTGGCCTTTGACCAAAGTCAGGCCTCGTTCCAACACTCCAGGACCCTCTGTCATACGGCACCATTGGGAGAAGTGTCACACACAAACACTGCAGATCAGAGCTGGGGAGGGTAGAAGACTCGTTAAGGCTGTTAGTACAGGTTTCATCACCTGTTTTTGTTTTGTTTTGTTTTTGGCAACATCATGTTAAATGCAACAGCTCAGCAAAGTTTCAATAGATATAAACGGAGTACAACAATCTCAAGGATTTTCCATCTGTTTTACCCAGTGACCGAAGCACAAAGATCAAGAGCTCTAGTAATCAGTTTGACTGTAATTTGCTTTTGGTTTATATGAATCAGTTGCCAAGGTGACAAGTAAAATCTGTTTAGAACAGAATGTGGATATCATTTATCATCCTTGACGCAGATTGCCCTATACTTAAGCATTTTATTATGGCCTAACACAGCTAACAATATTACCATAGCACTGAAATCAGAATATCCTGAAACTCTTTTGGACTTAACCAAAATCTACATTACATTCCGATACTAAGTAAACCTGTTGGACTTGACTTGTATTGAAAAGTGTTCAAAGAAGAAAGGACATAAAAAAGGGCACAACAAAACCAAATCATAAGCCTGAACGACTCTGGGCTTGCATTAAAAGCAATATTGTCAAAAGTTCAAAGGCCAATCAGAGATTTCAGAACAGAAACTATGATGCTCCAAGCTGACCTGCTGTGAGAGCTTTCTGAGCTGTAAGTTTGTAGTGAGACATTTAAGTGAATGTGAAATGCTGCTAGAACTCTTTTCCAGGCTTTTACCCATGTAGTGTTCTTTGGATAGACAGCAATGCATTGTGGGTAATACAGGCTTAGAGAAGTGCAATAGATGACTACATCACTGAGCTGACACCTGGTTTGTTCCACCAGCCACTACTAAGTGCACACAGGGCTTTAGACTCAGTGAGACAGTCAAAGTTTCAAATTTGATTGTGAAGAATTAGGTTATAATTATGTTGATTGCAGAGCCGTGAATCCAGCAATGAGGGTCAAAGTGCACTTTGATTATATAAGTACTATGCATCTGCATACAAGCAAAGCTAAAGGGTGATCTTAAAGGGATAATTCACCCAAAATTGAAATTCTGTCATTATTTACTCACCCTCACGCCATTCTGACATACTTTCTTCTTCATTTTTTTTTAGTGTGTTTTTTTTTATTGTCCATACTAAGAAAGCCAATAGGGTCAAATGCTCATTATATGGACGAAACCAGTTAAAAATATCACCTTTTGTGTTCCACAGAAGAAAGCTGTACAGGTTTGGAATGACATGAGGATGAGTAAAGGAATAACAGAATTAGCACTTTTAGTTGAACTATCTTTTGCAATAAATTAGTGTTTGCACCATGTATATTTTTGAAGTGGATGAAAGCCAACACTCACTACCCTAAATAATCACTTCAAATTTCACATCTTAAGACTTTGAGAATATAAGGAATGCGTTTTGCACTAAAAAGACGCATACGTTAGTAAATCCGCTGCACCCTTATTTGTTAGTCGGATCACAGTGTGTGTGTGTGTATGTGTGAGTGTGTTATGCCAGGAAGCTCACTCTGCTGTAAGGGTAATGAAGCATCAGGATTGGTCCATGGGCTCAAAGTTGCTCGGAGGCTCCGCCCCATGACTCTCCATCTCCTCCTGTTTGTCAGGAGTCTCTTCTTCCTCCCCATCATGCCTTGCTGTTGCATGCTGGCGCAAGTGTTTGTCCATGGACGCCTGTATGTTTGAGACCATCTCCTGCAGGCGCTGCCGCTGGGCCTCGATCACGGCGGGCTCTAGCCCCATGCCGCGGCCCTCACGTAAAGTGAGCATGCCCGGGGCTACGCGCACCAAATCCTCGCCTGACAACGTTAACCCTTCGTCGCGAACGCTGCTGCTGAGATCCACACCGCTGCTGTGTTGCCGCCTGATTGGTGGGTGTTCAGGAGCGGCGGAACCCAAGGAGTGACCTTTGCCCTGGAAGGCAGTGACGTTCTGCTCTTTCTTGCGCACTGCACCACCGGCGCCCAATCGAAGGCTGTGGGCGGGGCTTCCCTCGTGGCTACGAGAGGCTGTGTCAGAGCGGATTTGGGAAACGGCCTCCTGGACGAGCTCCTCCACGTCGGGGCCCACTGGAAAATGACCGGCTGTGTCCACACACAGCTCCAAACGCTCTTCAGATGAATTGAACACAAACGTCTTACCCGACAAGTGGGGCAGTGTGCAGTGCTTCCCGTCCAACAGACCTTAAAACAGAAATTGAGAATATTAGTTTCATACAAAAAAAACTAACTAAAAAGTTATTATTTATTTGCACAATTACAAACAATTTATATGGAGGACCAACTCTACTATATTTAAAAATAAATACATAAATAAATAAATGCTCAATAAATAAATAAGCATACAATTAATTGCCCCAAAAAATACAATAAACAAATAAATGTAGGTAGAAATTAAATTATAAAGTGAGAAATACATGTATATATATATATCTTAATTAGCTTCTTTATTTATTCACCTTTGTAATAATATCTTATTTATTTATGTGCATGCTATAATATTTTTGTCTGTTTTATTCTTCCTTTGTATTTTTTTACCCTATTTATTCCTTCAATGCTATTTATTTCTGCCTGTCGTTTTTACATTGGGACATTGAATTGGGAATTTAATTTTACAAATGTTTACTAACTATATCCTTAAATACGATAACAATATGTATCACTTTGTGGAACAATACAAAAAAACACAACCAAAAAAAAAAAAAAAAAAAAAAATCAGAAAAAGTATTGAAATATATATATATATATATATATATATATAGTCAAAACCATTTTAAACACTGAAGTTAAACAAGAAATATTTCAGATTCTGTACTATTTCTAGGCCACTAATCAAATTAAATAAATTTGAGACAATGATCATGTGAACGGTAAGATGTTCTTGAATCTGATGAAGCACTTGTGTGTGATGTATAGTGAAGCCAAAGACAAATTTCCACTTGTGGACAATAAAGGAACTAAACTAAACTAAACTAAACAAGATGCACTTTGGATCATTCTCGAATAATGCTGAAAAACATGGCTATCAGGTTTTTACACAAACTTGTGGCTTTCATGAAGCTTGAGTCCTGCATTCATAAAAGTAAATAAAAAAGAGACACACCAAATACTATTCTGAAATGTATTTTATAACCTTTCACTTAAATTGTTATGCTGATAATATAATTTGTAATGAATGTTTTTTTTTTATTAAATTAGAAAAATGCACAAGATTTGTACTAGTGTTCTCTGACCATAGAGGCCTATGTATATAATTATTACTATATATAGGAATTAATGTTTAATCAAAATTGTATTATTTTTTAACTCGGCTAGATTGCATCTCTCAGCCAGTGGCAGAACAAACAAGAATCTGGGTTAACAGAGGGTCAGTTTCACATAGCGGACCATGGCTTATCCTGCATTATACTGTATATTTAGGAAAATAGAACCAGCTTTAATAAGAGCCATTTCTCAAATCCCATCCTATTGACAATATTGCTTTTGCAAATACTTGAGGAAATATTCTGTCTCATGCCAATAAAGCACAATTTGGAATTTTATAAACCGAATTGAAACTGTGTGAGAGAAAGAGGAAAAATAACAGAATACCCATGTCTTTCTTCACAATGTTGTAGAAGACTCCTCCTTGATGGAACAGGTGAGGCAGTTTCTTAGCATAAGACCAGACATCTTCACCTGAAAGAAACAGAAAGAGGGAGGAAGAGACAAGACATCAAATCAACAGATTCAGGCCTCACATACAAGGTTTAGGCATAATACAGAGTGAAAGCAGTAAACAATACTAAAGAAAGAGGGCAGAATCTCAAATTACAGAAGAAGAATTATGACATTACAGCAATACGTTTGTCTCACGTTTGGAACAAAAAGAGCACACATTCACAAACATGCTTATGTAGACGCTGATTCTAGTATGAGACAGTCAGTCTTACTGTAATTTCATAAAGCATATCACTTACAGAAGGGTGTTTCTTACCCATGAGTGCTGCCAGGAGGCAGAGTGATGACATCTCAAGGTCAATGTTGTCCTGAAGTTCCCTGCTACTGGTGCGACTGAGGTGTGTGTCGGAGTGAGCGTGAGTTTGTGGTGCGTGAGTGTGGGTCTGGGTCAGGTGAGTATCGGGTGAGCTCTCTTTTAGCGCTTCCACAGAGATGCGGTCGCCATGCTGGAGTGCCACCGGCTGGTTCTGGTCCTCAGGACGGGGTGGGGGCAGCTCTCTCGGCGGGAAGCCATGTCGGATGCACAACTGTCCGGACGACAAGTTGAAGACCTGGATGATGGAGTTCTGGAGATCACTGTAGGTGGTGTGCGGTTGCAGCGTGAGCATGGCCTGCCGGCCATCGCTGGTTGTTACACGTATCTTCTTCTCTCCGCTGGTGGGTGGCACTTTGGTGGGCGTGGGAGGAGCAGAGGATGATGAAGATGAAGGAGATGACGGGCGAGGATCCTGCTGGCGCACGCGGTCTGTGTTGCGGCGCTGGGAGAGGGCTGCCTGCTCACTGATGCTGTGCTGCAAGACCCTCTCAGTTTTGCTCATCACCAGCTCCTCCTTATGCAGGGTTTTGCCCTTCTGTCCCGTCAGGATGATTTTAGTTGGAGGGCGTGAGGCCGATTCACTCCCGTGTTCCCCGTCCTGAGCGTGAGCACCTTCGATGGCAACTGGATTGTATTCGTCTTGGCTCCGCTTGGCAGTGTGATGCAAAATGGTGTTCACAACCTTTTGGACTAGGATCTCGCTGCCAAACTCACCGGGGAAGTGCTTCGTGACGAGTCGCATTGTCACGTCGTAAACATTGCTGTTGAGCGTCTGATCCGTTTCGTACTGGAACCAGTAAACGGTCTCTCGCACCACACGGCCGGCCCACTCCAGAGTGATGGGGAAGGCTTCGGGAAGATTTTCATACTCCTTCCCCTCCCAGAAGTGCTTGAACCCACAGCCGCACTTCCCACCCTGTGAGCGAGTGTTGGTACGGTCTCCATCCAAATAGACTACAGAGCCGTCGCCACGAACGCGTCGCACCGAGGTCCCGTGACACCAGGTGCAGGCTGCGAGCGAACTGAGTTTGTAGTCAGGCACGAGCACATCTTTTTCTGGGTTATAAGAACAAACCAAACTATTCAAAGGAAAGCTGTAGTTCTTGTCCGCTCTCAGCGTTCCGTGAGTCGACTTGGCCAAGTTGTAGAGTTTCCCTCCCGGGATGAGCCACTCCGCTGGCACGTGGAGTTCTGAAAGGGCATTGCAGACAAGGCAGCGGTGGAGACGGCCCTCCTGAACAGATTTCTTCGCAGCTTCTGTCACCTCCTCCGGCTGCACGCCGATCACCCCAGTGCGTCGGTATATGTACTGGTGGACGTCGGCGACAAGAGCGGGATGGATGCCGTACTTGTCCATGAAAACGTCCTCCATTGCGCCTACAAGCCGCAGCAAGTACTTATCCTGCAGGCTCCGGTCTCCCCCGATCACACAGCTTCCACTGGAGTCCAAGCTCACGTATTTGCGAATCAGCTCTTGAGGAACACCCCAAGCTTTCGGGAGCAGAGCAGCAGGTAAACGGGGCAAAGCCAAGCCCTTGATGCCGACTAGGGGCAGATAGTGATTTCTGCCAGAGCTGCTCCAGGCGATGCAGATGGGTTTGTTCAGAGTGCCATCTTTTCCTCTGCATTGCTCCTCTGGAACCAAGCCTGGCAAGAAGGTGGCGGAGTAATCGCCCGAGCTGCGCATGCCGCTCAGTGAGTCCAATAGGATTATGGGTCTGTGCAGTACATTCGCCAGGCCGAATATGTGGATGTTTCGCAGCCCCAAAGGAACGCCTTCTGGAGGGATAAACAACGGGTCACACTCGTTAATGATGTCTTCCCATTCCGCTGCATCTATAAAGTCCTGGAAAAGAGCTTTGTAGCGGTCAATGTACTGTTTGAAATTAAGTTTTAGGTTCTCTCGAAGGGCATGCCAGAACAGCTCACGTCCAACTAACGCCCTGGACACGGCGTGGACCAGACAGTGTCCGTCTCCATCCACATGCACGGGAATAAGACACTCTCTATTGAAGTTTGCTTTCTTGATCTCCTCCAAAGTGTCATGCAGGTAGATCAGGCTCCCTGACCGATCCCGTCCATAGCCAACAGTGGGAACATGCTCTTGCTCGATGAGAAATGCACGGTCCCCAAGAAGTGAGCAGTCAAAGATGTCTCCCTGGTTCATTTCCTTCAAGAGTTTGGCAGTGCCAGTCTGTTTGTCCATGCCATAGCGGGTGAGGATGGGTGACAGCAGCTTGCAGTGATAGTTGGACAGTCCCATCACTTTCACCAGCTCTGAGCCCTTTTTGGGAGGGCCTGGCACACCCAGCAAAGCATTTCTCAGCAAATTATGAAGCACTACATCTGGGTCAGTCACTTCCTCCACATTCGCGAGATTCTTCTGCTCGTGTCTCTGGCCGCACTCGGTGCACTCGATGCTCATGGAGGTGTGTGCGGGGAAGAAGAGCTTCGCCTGGCACTGCGGGTCCGGGCACATCCCGCATAAAATGCGCCTGTCCTTCTGCTTTGTGCCCGGAATCAACGACATAGTCCAATCTGATATCTCTTCTGACGCAGCGGTTTACAAAAGCATCGCTGTCTAATAAGTGACGGGCAATAGAAAATTATGTCACCTCACGCAGTTTCTGTTTTCCAGTAACAAACACAACACGGAAGCGGATCTGTAACACAGCGTGACCCTGTGGGGAGCACAAAGCATGCTGGGAGTTGTTGTTCACAACCGTCACAGGTCAAGATTTTGCAACGACATTGTTTTAAAAAATAATAAGTAAAAGGCATTCTAATATTATTTAACCATGATTGAGTTGTCTTTTATTTATTAAGTGCCTTATTTATTTACTAATGGCTGGGACGTAGCATACGATATACGAGCATAGACAGATACAACGAAGATATTATAAAAGTGACTTTAACAAAACTACATTATCCACAATACAAAGAAGGCTAAAGGTTGTGTTGTGTTTTTTGAGTTCAGCAGTCTTTATATGGACGTGAGAATAAACTGCAGTTGTTAGATATAACTTAACGGATCAATGTAATAAACATAGATTGTTTATTTATCTTTCTCTGTAACAGACGAATGCTTAAAGTTCACTGGCTGAAGAATTAAAAAATAATGTTGAGACAGGCCATGGCAAATAATAATTATTATTTATTATGATATTGAATAATTATTGATTAAATCATTTTCTAATTTAAAACAATACGGGTTTTTTTTGTAACAAGAAAACAAAAACAAAAAAGTAAAATTGTAGTAATAAATAGCTTTTAAAAATGTTGGCAGTTTGAAATTGTAATTTTCATTACAGAACGCATTTGCCTGAAAGAATGTTCATAACTTTCAGGGAAAAAATGACAGAATTGCCTGTTGTACGTAATTTTCAATCAATCATCAATTCATACGAATTATGCAAAAAGTGTTCATAAAAAGTATCCTAAACAAAACAGTACAATAAAGTGCAAGCTATAAAATTAGTCTTCAATATGATGGTCAGTTTGTCATTTTGAATTTTAAACATAATAAATCATAGCCTATACATAATGTGGAGAAAAAGTTAATGACTTTGTTAAGTTAAAACTCGTGTGATGTATTTTAAACATTAAATAAACAATGAAGAGTGAGTTTATTAAAAATCCACATAAATATATACGTGAGATTTTTTTTATTTTTTACCGAAATGACACACACACAGACACACACACACGAAACTAATAAATAAATAAATAAATAAATAAATAAATAAATAAACAAATACATTTATTTTTCTCATAAATTCGAAATTAAAACCTTTATTCTAATTCTATGAGGCCTTTTCCGGGTTGACCTAGAAAACGTAACGACCAGAACAGTGTTTTCCCTATAGGTTTTTCCTTTTTCCCAATGTTTTTTTCCCTCTATGGTTTTTGTTTTTTTGCGCTTTTGCCTATCCGAGAGTTTTATAAATCAGCAGCAGCGAGAGGAACAGGATTAGGAAAACCGGAAGTGAAAGACAGGAAAACGGCGCTCTGTTGTTTATATCTTTCCAGTGTGACTGGTGGGCAGAGATCGGATTCAGAGCCATCAAATTTGATAAATATACCTTTTATTTAAAACATTTGATTATTTTCAGTATGTCAACAGATCCAAATATTAGATAACACATTTATTCCCTTTCCCCAATGAAACGAGAACAGTAAGTTACATTTTCTGTTTAGACCTTATTCAAGGTACTGTAAATCAACAACACATTTTAAGTCACGTTATTAACATGTCTGATATCGGTGTGATCTGATCAAATGGTTCTTTTGTGGAGTGGAAGAACAGATGTATTCAGATTCAGAATCGTGCCAAGCGAGGATTAAACAGAGTGTCAGCACCAGGAGTTCTTCAGAGAGGTGTGTGTGTGTGATTGCATTTTGTCTCTCGGTGTGTAGGCCTATGTGTGCATCAGAGCAGGTTATGTGAGGCATAAATGGATCCTATTGAAATAGTTTGTAAGGCTGGTTCATAAGTATTTACACACCCATGCATGCCTTACCTAAAGATGCCTAAATTTTATTGAATTAGATTAAATGAAATTCTACCCAGTATTAATCTATTATGGATTTGAATTGAATTTTATTATTATGAATAATAAGCTATATGCATTTACAGGTGGTGCTGTTTATGTTTAAAATTTGTATGTATTCCAGATGGATGAGGTATTGGAGAAGTTTCTTGAAGATCAGAAGACGAAGATAGCAGAAGAGAAGGCCTGTCTGGAACAGGAGCCCCCTTACATGGAGATGAGGGTGAGAGTTGGTGATGGGGATAATGAAAGAATGTTTGATTGGTCATCATTGTAATGTTGTTTCATTTGTTTGACGTATCAGAGGCGGACAGGCCGTGTTCTCCAGAAAGAGAACATCCCTCCATGCACATGTCAGCAAGGTACAGGTCTGTTAATAAGATTGTAATTTCATTTCTGTTATATACATACCTGGTTTTAAAGGTGTGAATGTGCAATTTCAACGTGTAGATGGATTGAGTCTGCCGCTCGGAGAAGAATATGAGAGAAAGAAACACAAACTGCAAGAAGAGCTCAGGAAAGATTACAGGAAATACATGGAAGAGGTGAGACACACTTACAGTATACATGCACACTTGCGCCCTGTCCCAAATGTCTTCAATGAGGCCCATTAAGATCTTAAAATGTCAATATTCAAAGACAGGGGGTTTAATTCAGTAGTAATTGCATGGATAATTTCGTATTTGTACACACAGGAGAGCTTCTCTTGAAACTTGTTTAAGCATATGAATTTATTCTGAACCTCGTTCTAATATTAATAGATTTGGAGTATTCTAAATGAGCAGCTGCATGTTTGAAGTAAGTCAGTTGTATAACACGTGTCCAAACCATTTCCATATAAGGGCTTTCTGCACTTTTCTATTCCAGCCTTTCTTCATTCTTATCAAACAAATGACGCTCTCTAAATATGCCCTGTCTGAGAGCACATGCAGAAGTATCCTCAAGCCAGGGCCGGCGATTGCTATAGTCGAACTAGGCGGTTGCCTAGGGCGACAAATGTGTTGGGGGCGCGCTCCAGTGTCGCCCTTGACCTACTTCACATTCTCTGCTACTTCCCATTATCAAGTTAGAATGAGCAGCGAAACAAAAATATGTCTATTAAACATGATCATCCTAAGGCGCCCCTCAGCCACACGTTTAATTACTTACTTAATTACTGATTAAATCAATCTCGCCTAGGGCAACCAAAGGGCTAAAGCTGGCTCTTCCTTAAGCAATGCCAAGTGTGCCTCAAAATCAGTTCATATACATTAACACCTTTTATTCAGACCCAGATTATAGATGTCTCATTAGTTAGCAGTACATAAGTTATTAGTGAATCATGATTTGTTTGTGAAAACGTTTGCACATAGATTTTACACACACATTTGTGTGTATGCACACTTAGTGAATGAGACCCAATCTTCATTTCTCAATGTCTTTGTGTCTCTTGCAGAAAGCTCACTGGGACGCTGGTGACATTCACACAGTTCCAGAGAGAAGAGGAATACCCAAGGTATAGGAGCTGGATCGTTGTCTTCTGTCTTGCTTTTTTGTATTTCCACAGTATGAAAGTAAGATCTTACTGATTTATGAATGAACCGCTCATTTTAAAATCTTCCCAGTCTACTGACATTTGTTAGGACATCCGCTTCAAACATTACAATGCTCATGATAACTTTCATTAACTCTAAATCCACTTCACCAGCTAATTACTCTTCATACAATATACAGAGCTTTCGCAAAAACGTTAAATACTGTGAATTCAAAATGGTCATACTGTGTACCCAATTCCCCACTATCTGCCCATAAGAAAAGCTACATCATCTGTTACTGTATCATAAATTACCATGATATTACCATCTGATTTTATTACTGTACCCATGATTCTCCCAGAGTTCTGTTTTTTATGGGTCTCTCACTCACAAAAAGCTTGCTCGGTTTTTCAGACGGTCCGTGTGCGAAATGTGGCCACCCTTACAGAGGTGTGTGGTCTGGGCTGGGGTGTGTGTAGCTCTGAGGAAGACTGCAGTGATGAAGAACTCATACTTTTACAAGGGAGACGACATCAGAAAGCGAGAGACACCAGGACAGCAAACAGGTGAGGACAGAGAGAGAGGGAGAGATTTTTTTTTTTAAATTGGTGACTCATTTCGTGTTCTCTATGGACTGATTTTTTTTGTATATTATTTTTTTTGATTGTATATATGAATGGTATTTTCTTGATCTTTGTCTTTCATAAGAAGCGAAGAATTGTACGCAGAGACAGGGCATCACATGAGCAAACTACAGCACAGAAACAGGTAAAAGACGCACAGACACAGATTCAATTTCTTCTTTTATAGTATTGGCAAGCTGGCCGCTTTTATTTATTAGTCTTTTGAATGGCAGAATGGTTTGGACCCACATTTATAGCTCTTTCACTGTTGTAGAATGTCGTTATCCGTTGCGACCCAAGCCAATGAAAGATCTGTATCTGGGGCCAGTCAGGACACAGTTTACACCACTGGAATCCTAATAGGTAACAGTTCAGTATTGCGATTCTGATTGGTTAAAGGTCCTTGTTACTGTTTTGATTGGCTCAATAATTGGAGAAGTGATACTTCATTCAATGGAGAATGATTCTGACTTGATTATGAAGGGATAATTCACCCCAAAAATGAATCATCACTTTCTTAAAGGAGTAGTTCACTTTAAAAAAAACCTTTTGCTGATAATTTACTCACTCCCATGTCATCCAAGATGTCCATGTCTTTCTTTCTTCAGTCGAAAAGAAATTAAGATTTTTGATGAAAACATTTCAGGATTTTGCTCCATATAATGCACTTCAGTGGGAACCAAACGGGTCAAGGTCCAAAAGAGAGTTTCAGTGCAAACTGTTCAAAGGGCTTTAAATGATTCCAGATGATGAATAAGGGTCTTATCAAGCAAAACGATCTCTCATTTAAAAAAATGAAATTACAAAGTTCAAGTTTTATAAGCTCAAATGGTCGCCTTGTTCTGTCCTGTGATGCGCGTTCGTGACTTTCCTGTTCGAACTCGTTCATCAAAATGAACAAATCTTTTTTCGTGTCATTTGGTTGTTTCAACGAGCGAAATGAACAAATTGACTCTGAAAAAGATTAGTTCATTTTGATGAACGAGTTCGAACAGGAGAGTCACGAACGCGCATCACAGAACAGAGCAAGACGACCATTTGAGCTTATAAAACGTAAACTTTTTTTTTTTTTTAAATGAGCGATCGTTTCGCTTGATAAGACCCTTATTCATCGTCTGGAATCGTTTAAAGCCCTTTCAACTGTTTGCAGTTTGTACTGAAAGTGTCTTTTGGACCTTGAACCGTTTGGTTCCCATTGAAGTCCATTATATGGAGAAAAATCCTGGAATGTTTTCATCAAAAACCTTAATTTCTTTTCGACTGAAGAAAGAAAGACATGGACATCTTGGATGACATGGGGGTGAGTAAATTACCAGCAAAAGTTTTTTTAAAAGTGAACTTTTCCTTTAAGAAAGTGATGATTCATTTTTGGGGCGAACTATTCCTTTATAATCAAGTCAGAATCATTCTCCATTGAATGAAGTATCACTTCTCTAATTATTGAGCCAATCAAAACAGTAACAAGTGAACTACTCCTTTAATCATCCTCATGTCGTTCCCAAAACTGTTTGGTTTCTAATGTTCTCCAAATTTGTGTTCCGCAGAAGATAGAAAGTCATACAGGTTTGGAACGACATGAATGTGAGTAAATGATGCCCTTTATCTGACATTAACTGATGCTCAGGCTTCTGACATGGCTGAATTTGATTGACAGGTGCAACAGATCTGGAGGCCATCCTGAAGAGAAAAAAGGAGCATTATAGACGTGAACTACAAGAACAAATTGCAGAGAAACAGAGTCACAGGAGGTGTGTGTTGAGAAATTGTCTTGGTGTATTTGGTTGACGTCATTACCTCGAGAGAAATAATGTTCAATGGATAATTACAGTTCTGACATCGTTTACTCACCCTCATGACGTTACAAACCTGACTTATTCCTTCATGGATCATAAAAGAGATGGTTGTCTGAAGGTTTTTGCAGCTTTCATGAACAACCTGTAATTCGATTGTTTTTAGGGAAAAAGAACTGGACCTGAGAGTTGCGAGAGTAACAGATGCTGAGAAAAAGGTAACAAGGTGTGTGTTTGTGAATGTGCAAATATTTGGTGATGTTCTTGTGTTGATTCTCTGGTCTGTTCCTGTAAAGCAGCTCTTTGTGAGTGAGGCGTCCACATACAGAAAACAACCTAGAGATGACATCTTCCGCCTGGACACTGCCGAGCCTCCTGAGGGTCTTCTGCAATACAGGACAGACCCTCTGTCTCCATCCAGGTATGCATTGATACACACGAGTCGAGTGCACACACACAAACACACATATTCACACATGCTGTACTTTAAACTCACAAACATGTTTCTTTCTACAGGATGCCTTTTATCCCCACTCACTCCTCATATAATTCCAAGACTCCAAATAATGATTCTGAGAGTTTGCTGAGCCCCAGCAGAGCCTGTAAGACACACTTATGACCCAACAGACTTCATTAAATATAAGTTTACTTGCAATGAAGATGAACATGGTTTTGTGCTGTAAATGAGATCATGAAACCATCCATATTAATGCATTTCATTGTACATTTAAAAAAATATTTTTGTTTACTTTGATGCTGTAAACAATGTTGGCTCTGTGTTTTGTATTCTTTTGTATTAGTTTTTAAATGCGCTCAGCATATGATTCCCAGTGCTACATCATGAGTGTGTGTGTGTTTCCACAGATGGCCCATTAACTGGAGTTTTTTTTCCAACATCATCAGGAGAGCCACACCCTCTCAGTCCTCACAACGAGCACAGCAGAAGCACTCACAGACAGTAAGAGTGCAACCGACACAGACACTCACACGAATGCAATTTTCCAGACACATTTCTGATTGTAATTTGTGGTTGTCTAGAAGCAGGCATTAAAGGGATAGTTCACCCAAAAATGAAAATTCTGTCAGTATTTACTTACCCTCATGTTGTTCCAACCCCGTAAGACGAAGATGAACGAAGTTCTTATGGGGTTAGAACAACATGAGGATGAGTAAATACTGACAGAATTTTCATTTTTGGGTGAACTATCTCTGTAACACCAGGTCTAATAAAATAATAATCTATAAATAAAATACAATTTAATAATAAAATAAAATCTAATAAAATAATTTCTTCCATTTATCATGTACTATAATGCCACATTCACGACGAGGTCCAAGTTGAAATGCCCTACTTCCGTCATCAGTGAGTTCCAGTTAGTCAGATGTCATGCTCACATGTTGACCACATGATGTCGCCATGACGCAACGATGAGAGCATTTCATGTTTTTGGGTCAGTTATATGGCAAAAAAAGAAAATGCTGCCATTCGCTTTGACAGCTGACGAAAAAGCAATAATTAAAGTATCGTTGTATAAGCATAATGTCTAATGTTAAAGTTTGTTTTTACATTTAACGTAATGTAGCTCCACACACTATGCTCGTTGGAAGCAGGACTTGCTGCCTTCTTGGGAGTGACGTCAAGTGAGGTCGGGGTTGATTAATCTGACCCAAGTTCACAGGTCGGATGTCCAACTTTGTGCGGCATTCCAGACATTATTTACAAGAAGGTGGTGGGAAAAATCTCAATTCCGAGTTGTCTGGAACGCAACAGATTTCTACAGAATCACTTTGTGACATATTTTAAAAAAATTGACAATTACGTTTCTAGCTGACAACAATGACTGCAAACCAATGGCAACAAGTCTTCTACTTTTTTTATGAAGATCTTGTGTTAGAACCAGCGGATACAAACAAATTAGGTAAGTTAGTTATATACATCAAAACATCCCAACTTAAAGGGGTTGTTCACCCCAAAAATGTTTTCTTCTGTGGAAGACTGTGGAAAAATATATATTTTGAGAAATGTTTTTTTCTCTTGTCCTGACAATGAAAGTCAATGGACACAAAAACTGTTTGGTTACCAACATTCTTAAAAATATCTTCTTTTGTGTTTCACAGCAGAAAGACATTTGTTTGGAATTACATCAGAATGAGTAAATTATGATGTCATTTTTATTTTTGGGTGAACTATCGGGAAGAGGTCATTAGTTCCACCATTATCTCAAACTTGTAACCTTAATTGAAAATAATTTACCACCAATTGGCTTTATGCACAGCTGCACTACTTCCTGAACTTCAGCCAGCTCCTTTGTTTCCTGTCTGCCATTATTGGACAAACTGATTAATCCAGGTGTGCCTGACCAACAATAATCAGACACACCTGGATTAATCAGTTTGTCCAATAATGGCAGACAGGAAACAAAGAAGCTGGCTGAAGTTCAGGAAGTAGTGCAGCTGTGCATAAATCCTATTCAGACCAAACTCTCAGCCTAATTACCAAAAACGTGTTCTTTCTATGGTACTTTCTTCAGCCTTTTTTTTTTCTCACCATCAAAGATACACTTTTGAACCATATGCCTGTATGCAGACAGCTAATACACACTTTAATTTGAGGAGTATTTGCAATTTATTTGTGTGTTTCAGGATGTTTCTGGGTGAGAATGAAGGTGTGGGTTCAGGTCTTTCAGTGTTTCCTGCACATCAAGCGCAGAAGAACAGACTCAGCTATAAAGAGGAGCTCAGACAGCAGGTGTGTGTTCTTATTGCATATTATGTGGTGATGGCGCAGTGGATACGACACATGCCTTTGGTGTGAGACACCTGGATTCGAATTTACTGTGTGAATTCAGACACCAATGTGTCCCTGAGCAAGACACTTAACCCCTAGTTGCTCTAGAGGCTTGCAACCTCTGAAATATATAGCAATTGTAAGTCGCTTTGGGAAAAAAAATAAAAAATAATATTAAACAGTATTTCTTTACGACATAGTCAACAGTGGGTTTGTTTTTGTTAAAGGTATAGTTCACCCAAAATGAAAAATCCTGTCATCATTTATTCACCCTCAAGTTGTTCCAATCCTGCATGAACACTAAAGAAGATAATTTGAAGAATGTCAGTAACCAAACAGTTAATGGGCCCTATTGACTTCCATAGTATTTTTTCCTATACTATGGGGTCCAACAACTGTTTGGTTACACGTATTCTTTAAAATATCTTCTTTTATGTTCAGCAGAAGAAAGAAATTCAAAAAGGTTTGGAACAACTTGAGGGTGAGTAAATGATGACAGAATTTTCATTTTTGTGTGAACTAGGTTATCCCTTTAAATATGGTTTTGCATCTATCTGATTGGTCTTTCTTTCTACCTGGAAAAGTGCAATAGAATGCTTCTTAATGAAGATGTCCAGCTTATAAATTTGTTTATTTGTGTGTGTGTGTGTGTGTGTGTGCCCCTTGGGCAGATAGAGGAGCGGGCCGCACAGAGGAGGGTGGACCGAGAGGAGAAGAGAAGACTGGATGCAGAACTCGATGCTGATATGAGAGCATATGAACCCTGGGGAAGGGGCGGAGCTGGTGCACCACTCAAAGACAGCACTGGAAATCTAATCAGTATGACTTATTTACTATGACTTAGATCTCCAGCTTTTCTGTCAGTAATGGAATTTTTGGCTACAGAAATTATGTATTTGTGTGTGTGTAGCTGATCTGAAGCAGATGCACCTTTTGAATGCAGCTGCAGCACAAATACCGGAGAGGCCAGGTAACATGCTAGCACACATGATTTAGTTCTATTACAAACATACGTGGTGTGTTTTTAGCGAATGTTTACATTCTCAACTCAGTTGTATGTGTTTGTATCTGAAGGTTTTGTTGAGACACACACTCCACAGTTTGCAAGAGGAAATGTGTTCAATCAGATGCTGTCACCCCAGCAACTACAGGAGCAAGACCAGTACAAAGCATACCTGAAACTCCAGGTACACACAAGGTTTGGGGTTGCTAGGATTTTTTAAAGAAGAAATTAATACTTTCATCCAGCCAGGACACAAAATTGATTTGACATTTTACCCAAAAAATTTGTTTCATTGATGAAGTTTCTATTCATCAATGAATCTTGAAAAAAAAAATCCACAAAAATTTTGAGCAGCACAAATGTTTTCAATATTGATCATATTAAGAATTGAGCACCAAATCAGCGTATTAGAATGATTTCTGAAGGATCATGATTGGAGTAAAGAAGCAATTCAGCTTTGTATCACAGGTATAAACTAATTTTTAAATTACTTACTAAATTATTTTAAAATAGGTTCAAGGTTCAATTTATTTATAAAGCACATTATAATACAACAGGAGTTGACCAAAGTGCTGTACATACGATAAATAAAATAAACTGTACATAACATACTGTACAGAGGATTAAAAAAAATAGATTAAAATAGAAAAGGTTTTTTTTTTTTAATTGTACTGATATTTCACAATATTACAGTTTTTTTCAGTTTTGATCAAGTAAATTGAGCCTTGGTGAACATAAGAGACTTAATAAAAAACAAAATAAATCTTACCAACCGGTAGTCTGGTAGTTTATATTCAGGATTAAATTAGATATTGGATCGCATATTTTCAATGTGATTCAATTTTACAACTTTTGGGACCCCAATGTACCTGTAAAATACATAAACACCATAAACATAATGATCTTTGTATTTTTTTTTTTTCCTTAGATGGAAGAGAAGCAAAGGAAGCAAGCGGAGGAGAGAGAGCGGATGAGGGCAGAGGAGGAGAGGGAGGACAGACGACTGGCAGAACAGAGAGAGAAAATCAGGAGAGAGTATGAAGAGGAGCAGGAGAGCAGGAAATGCAGAGAGATGGAGGTCAGACAGACGCATACACTCCTGCCTGTCATATTTTTAGGGATCCATCAGTCCCATATCAGCTAAGAGTCAATTTCAGTATTAGTCAATATTGAATATTAAATACTGCATGCTATTTTTTTCATGTTTTTTTCATGTTTAGATTACCTTTTGTATTGCTCACTTAAATTTGATGTTTAAAATAACACTAATAATTTAAGAACACAGTTAAATATACGATTTGGCAGTTCTCAAAATGAATGTCCATCTTCATTCTGTGTATTATAATGTGTATTATAATGTTGTGATGCTTAAATTTGATGTAAATTAAAAAATGATTGATTTTAGTTTTTAGTGTTTCAATTTAATAAATGTAGATTAAATTATAGAACTTGATTTAAAATAGTTTATTATAGAATTTTGATATATATTTAATGAGAAAAAATATAAAAAAGTTCTTTTGAAAAGTATTTTTACGGGTGCGTAAAATACCACTTTTCAATGGACCTTGAACACTGAAATTTTTTTGGGTGCGTGGATTCCTCTGTTGGCTTTTCGATTATATATATTTCATAACATAATTAACATCATCAACAGAATTTTAATATCAAATGGCCTAATACAATTATTTCCTAATCGTGGTCTAATCTAAACAATTGATTAAATGTTAATGATTTAACAGAGATGTGTTCGCTTTAAATCACATTTTGCCATCAAAATGAAGTAAATTTAAGTGCTTAAAGTATTTAAGTGCTTGACCAACACTGCTGTCTTTAAACAAAATTATGATATTTTTGGTAGCAAAAACTGAAGAATGAAGAACTTGCTCGTCTGGCAGAAGAGAGACGGAGGGATGCAGAGAAAAAGAAAAAAGAAGAAGAAAAAGAGAGAGCAGCTTTTCGAAAACAGGAACAACAAAAGAGACAAATACGGCTGCAACAACAGGTGTGTGGTTCTCTCTGAGTTTGGATGTGAATTTACTGCAATGAGCTATATTTCACATCTGTATATGTGTGTTTTAGCATAGATACATAGATATATCGTTCTCTATATAGCAATTGATTCCTGCTGTATCTGTAGCCAATGAGCTCATTGCTCAACCTTTAAATACTTCAAATAGCAGTTGCAGCACACTTTCAGAAACCCTCCTCCTTCCCCAGCTCCACCTGTATAGATGTGCTATGGGTAATTTAGCTATGCTATATTGTACAACAGCAGCTTGTCTTACTTGCTCACAGCAGTGTGTTGTGTATGTATTGGCAGTAGCAAGTCCCATGCTATCTCTGGATAGTAATAACCAACAGCAGTGTAGCAGATGATATCCATTACCATGCTAAACACTCTGAGAGTTGTCATGACAGAACACACATTTGCTGTCCATAGAAATAGTGATTGTGTGCGACTGTTTTGTCATCATTAACTCTACTACCTTGATGTTTTTTTTAGGTTCAACGTGCGCCATCACCTCCTATCCCTACCTTACAGAACAAACACCGCAACCCTTCAAATGCAACAGTAACAAACACTTCATTAAACTCATTTACTTGAACAAACAAACATTGCAAAAACTCATGTTAACTTCTCACTTCTTTCTGTATATTCTTCAGGATTTCTCTCCGTTTCGGGCTCCTACATCTCCAGAACACAGAAACCATCAGAGAACAGAGAGTAATATCATGATGAGAATGTTTGATTGACTTTTATTGTTTTTATTTTAAGTTAATAATATTTGCTATACCCTAACCCTAAACCTGACCCTTACAGAAATCATATGTAAATTCTAGATTTGATTTAAAAAATGATTTAGTCCATCGTCAAGCCATTATTAATTATGTGAAGTCCCTATAGTGTAGGTGATTGCATTTAGTGTATAGACTAAGTTAAGTACATTTAATTTTATTTGTTGGTCTGCTTATAAATTAGCTAATACCATCCTTTCGAGTCCATATTTGAGGGTTTACTGTATTTGTGTGTCTTCACAGAAGACAGAAGTGAGGTTGTTAATGAGCTGAGTGTGTTAAGAAGACGTCTACGCAGTGAACAACAGCGTCTGGAGGAGCAGCTCTTGCGGACAGAGTGGGATCCTCTCCCCTCCCCCTTCACTGACAGGTACAGTGTGCTGTTATAGCTGTTTAATATTTAAGTCTGACACTAAAGGAATGTGTTAACCATTAAATCGTCTGTGATCTTTTAAAATAATTTTGCTGTCTGGAAGGAAAGATACTAGGAAGTATGATTCATAAAATACACCCATTGAATTCTAAGTTTGCATGAGTACAGAACTGATCTGAAAGAAATACACAAATAATATATAACTCAAATGGCAGCTTAGCTGACAGAAGTACGCTACATGTTTTTCCAGACTTGTTCATGTATTCTGGTCTTAGCCAAGGTAAGAATTGCTTGAAGTATCCAATAGTATCATATTCACAAAGTGTATATTACTTTAAACAATAGTTCTGGTCCTGGATGCTGATTGGTTAGTATTGCTACATTAATACAATACGCCATTCCAGCCTAGTAAAACTTTTCAATACTTTTGCAACACTTATAAATAACACAACACTTTCATAAATTATGTCTATAATATTTTTACTATGGACTTTCTGTATTATTAGCAATATTGTGAATAACTGACTATTTTCATTATATAGCATTGTGTGTTTGTGTTTGTAGGCCCAGGGTGGATGTGTTTGACATGGCACGCATGCGTATGCCTGTTAGAGGCCCCTCCTCCCGAGGCACCGAGCCAATCAGCTCAAAGAAATCCTATGACATCATGTACAGAGGTAAGAATTGTCTGTTATACTAACATAAATCTGAGCTATGGGGATTAAAATGACTAAAATAAATATTAATTTATTAGTATTATAAAACTACAAACTACCGTGTTTGTATGTGTCTGTTGCTATTTCTTTCAGTATAAAACAGGTCAAATCATGTTAAAGTAATTTTTAGTTGGCTATGGCTACAATTAAATATTGTGACTGAAATGAGTGCTCACTTTATTATTTGGTTTTATGTAAATTCATCTTTCATGCAGAAACTAACACTTTTTTTTCATATTTCTCAGATGACTTTATGCCACTTCCTAGAACACAGCAGTCTGTAAGTCTTCCTTTCTTATGAATGCAAAGCGTTGTTATTTCCTGTGCTTGTTATTTCCTTAGTATTCTGCAGTACTTTTGATGCTGAGTTAAGACTGAATGATGTTTAACATGGCAGTTCTGTTTTCCTGTCACACAGAGGAACAGAGCAGTTGAGGGGGGACGAGGATCTGTGCTTCTGTCAGAGAGTGAATTTATAGGTGGGATCACACATGTTTCTTTAATTGATTGATAAATATTAATAAATATAAAATATTGATAAATATAAATATATATGATAAATATAAAAAACCCAGTTATTTTATTATATACAGTGGGCAAAAAATTGATTTAGATACTTGAAAATGTATGGATGTTTTGCATTATATCACAAAATATCAAACCAAATGTCATTTATTTTAAAGAAAAATATGAACACACTTTTCAAACATTTCACAAGATGTTTTTAATAGTTAAATATCTCCTTATTCTGCATATTCTGTTTTAATACATACTTTGTTGATTTATTAAATGACAAATAACAGATCAGAATGGAGTTGCTTTCCCGCTTCCTCCAGATGTTGAGAGGAAATCTCCTAAGCCATCAGCACGAGAACGACGCAGACTAGCAAACCTTCAGGTAATTCACATCTAATAGACTAAAGTACAATTTATACTGACAAAATTGCTTGCATTTGTTGATTCATTATTACAGATGTTATGGACAATTGTCTGATGCCTAAAAATAACTCAACATTTCATACAATTTATGATATGCAAATGTTAAAGTCCCCCTGTAGTCAATTTTATCCCTTAACTCATCTTTGATCACCAAAATTATATATTTAAAACAATAAAATTCTTCATGCCTTAAAATAACCACACCCTTGCCTCATTTAATATATGTGATTCTATGAATATGCAAATTACAGAAGTAGATAACACGGGTAGTTTGTGACATTTCAAACCTTGTTTTTGAGACTGTCTTTGGTTCAGTGCAGTTTTAAAGAGAAAATACTGGTACTCCACAATGGTTTTGACTTATGAATTTGCACATGGTTTGTCTCAAAGCTAGGGGTGTAACAATATATCGTCCCACAATATATCGCTATACAAAACTGCAACAATACGTATCGTGGCTAGTGGCAATATGTATCGTGGATAGTTCACCCAAAATAAAAATGACTGTGTGAGAAAAAAAATCTAGTTTTCAGAGTTTTAGTGCCAGTACTACATTAAACTACTATATATAATGTTGATTATAATGTATAATAATGCAATGGGGTATATTGGGTCTGTCACAAGCATATATCCATATGCTTGTGACAGAGTGCAAGCGTATTCATCTACAATAACATCTACAATATTTTCAGCCTCTGAATCATGAATATTTTTATTCTGGCGTCTCTATTGTCCTTACAAGCACCAAGTCCAAGCCTATTCATTTAAACCCACAATGTAATATCAAATTTAGCATTTTAATCTACAGTACATTTTTTTTGTTAACCTTTTATCATATGTCTCGGAGTATCGTTACACCCCTAAAGCATATTAAAAACACCACATAGACATAAACAACATTAAAAGCTTGATTTTCACCTTTGCTTCTCACCAGCTTTGGCATTATTTCTGAACTAGAATTTTTCTCAACCAACATCAGCCGTATCTCAGAGAAATGATACACAAAAATATTAAATATTCACAATTTTGCTTTTAAAAGTGGTGTTCGTTCACAAAGATTTTTTTTGAGTACTGTTTTAATACTGATAGCATACCAGGACACACCTGATGAAGTCAGATGATGGGCTAGTTAGTAAGCGGAAAACAGTATGTGACCAAAGAACAAGTATGTTCAAATTCACAGTACTCATAAAAGAATAAACAAAAAAATACCTGGGTGACCTACTACTTCTGCCGAGAGTCTGAAGTGTGCATATGATGGGTACTTTACTATCCCATAAGGCCACGGCAGAGGATTTCTGAATGGCACTGACACTGGTACTGTAGGGCATAGGATAATGACAACATGGTGAATGTAGTATGTCCAGAATACATTCATACTACAGTAATAAACATTTGAAGTGGATTCAAGTTATGAATTTTGAACACTACCTGTTTCTTGTCAACTTAGGATAACTTATTTGATCCACTTCAAATATTAACTACTGTATATAGTACGTACATTTTTAGTGGTCACAAAGTCATTATTCAATATTACCTACTCGAGAGTGTGCGATTTTGGATGCGCCAACGTCAGGAATTAACATACTTGGGTTTTGATTTTGTCGCTACATAATTCCCAATCTTTTGTTTTGCATATGACTACATATGATGACATCCATAAAACTCTAAAATAAAGTGTATACGTGTGTGTGTGTTTAGGCTGCAGGAAAGCAGCCGGTGCAGCAGCAGTCTCTCAGTATGAGGAAACTCAGAGACACAAACACCCTCAGGATGAAGAGACTACAAGCCTTCGGTCATCACAACACCACACCAGGTGTGTGTTTGTCTCAGTGAATGATCTGTGATTCTTTAAAGATCCAGAACTTATTTCAATGATGTGTTTAGGAGGCTGCTCTGATGATGAGGATGATGAAGATGAAGCTGGTCGTCGTGATGAACGTTTTACCCTGACGTCTCCTGGCTGGCCCAGTTACATTGATCCAGCTACTACAGAGCCCTGGATTCGAGCGGAGTCGTCAGATACACTTAGGAGGCTGATGTCTGGCTCTGAACTCTAAGACGGATGTAGGACGGACTATAACATACACAACTGCAGATATAGGACATTTTAAGTAATTGGACCTCTTGAGCAAATAAGACTGATCAACAGAATCTTTTTAACTGAATAACAAAACCCCTTGTGGAAGCTGATTGGTGGATTCGTATCAAGTGAAGACAAAACAGTGTTTTACAGTTTTTACAAAACAGAAGGAATGTAAATTCCTTTTAGAAATGGCAGCTTTTAAAAATATTTGTAATGAACCAAATCTTAAGGTTTTTTTTTTTTTTTACACATCAGGATTCTCCAGAATAAATAGCACTTATTGAAAGCACTGTATTCCAGATTGTTTGGAGGCTTAAGGCCCGTTCATACCAAGAACAATAACTATAATAATAGGTTTTGAAAATTGTTGTACATTTAAAGGAATTGCAGGGTTCACACCACAACTAAAATGTTTATGCTCAGAGAAACAATATTGTTGGAATCAAGAACATTTTTTTCAGCTGCTAAAAACAGTGACATTGATCAATCAGAAGGACCTAAATTTTTAAAAGCTTAAGCATTTAAAGCAGCAGTGAGTTTATAATAACTTATAATAAAAAGAACATTAATTACCGTTGGTACTTTGGATGCTAATATACAACCCCTTTTCCGGAAAACTTATATTTTGTAAAATGCAATTAAATCAAGAATCTGTGATTTGTTAATTATATTTAACATTTTATTAACTGACAAAAATACAAAGAAAATAGTTCCAATGTTCTCACTGACCAACTTAATTGTATTTTGGAAATATCTTTTTTTTTATGGCTGCAACACTCCAAAAATTTTACCACTGTCACATCACCTTTCTTTTTTAATTGTTTGGGAATTGAGGATACGTTTAATCAGCAAATCACAGACTCTTGATTTTATAGTATCTTAAAAAACGTCCCAACTTTGTGTAGTTATCGTTGTAGTCATTTGTGTGAGAAATGCAAAATTGCTTGGTGCAAAAACTGCTTTTATTTGAACAGTTTCGAGATTGCAGAAACGAATTTAGGTACAAAGCTTGGCACGATCAATTCTGCAGTGGCACTGACACCATCCAAAATCCGGCTGACTTTGGATGGCTTTGACTTCTGTTCTTCCTGCATTTCTGATTTTAGGCAGTCAATCTGCCTCTGCAAGCGTGAGGCTTGCTGATCGAAGCCCTGCTGTAGAAGAGCATGCTTCTCCTGCAATACAACACAAACAGCCACAAATCCAAGAATTGCTAATCATGAATTTGACCTTTAAATGACCTGGAGCACAACAAAGAACATGTTTTAAAAAGAAAGTGTACTTTATTTACCCTTAGTTTGGCTTTCAGGACTTGTTCATTGTCTCTCCTCATTCTCTCTTGCTCTCGCTCCATCTGATGAATGATCTGATCGACATGCTCCTTATGGGATCTCTGCATGTCTTTAAACACCTGCGCTTGTAACCTGTTCTGTTCCTCTAGGCCTCTTTGCTGCTGCTCTAAGATCTCATTCTTTAATCTCTGCACTGTATAGAGAAAGAGAAATATTTTAACAAACTCATACCATCTCATGTATGATTAAGAGCCTTATGTTTGATTGACATAAGAATACAGCAGACTTGAACTGTACCCTCTTTTTCCTGTTCCGCTGCACTGAGAGATTCGTCGGCTTGTAGGATCATATTTCCAACCTCTTCCTTGGCTTTCAAAAACTTGCTCAACACTTCTTCACTCTGTCGAAAAAGAAAATGTCAAGTGCCATTAAAAACATGTAATTTACACACACAAGTCATTTACAAGTTTAAATTAGATAAAAAATGCTAAGTAATCCATACAAGTGTTGTTTTTTGTTAATTAAAACCATTAAAATGTATTGTTAATTGAAAAAAGCTGAAATAAAACATAGATATTAGATTAAACGAAACAAAGTTTGTTAAATTAAATACAGTTGTTTAAACCAAAACAAAATAAATAAATCATTTAATATTATAATATATATATATAAAAAAAACGAATAAAAAGCACATAAAATTGCTAAAACAAACTAAAATAAAAGATCTGAAATATTAATAAATACTATACTAGTATATAAACAATACTAAAATAACAGTGACCCACACGAATTGTGTGCAATATTCCAATGACATCCATGTCACATTTTCATTGAAAAACTGAAAAATTCATCTGTTCTTCATGCAAAGTTATACAGTACGTATTCATGTAATATAGCACTTGAGGTGTATGGGCCACTTTTATAGTGGGATTCATTTATTTTTTGGGACAAACTTGAATAATGCTGTCAGAATGATCAGATTTGAAAGGGAAAGTGATGTGAAGGCCAATTATGGTAACCCATACTCGGAATTTGTCCTCTGCATTAACCCATCCAAGTTAGTGCACACACACACACACACACACACACACACACACACACACACATTAGAAGCAGCGTAATGAGTTGTGAACACAAACACACACAGCAAACCCAGAGCAGTGGGCAGCCATTTTGCTGTGGTGCCAGGGGAACAGTTAGAGGTTAGGTGCCTTGCTCAAGGCATTTCGTGTCAGTGCTACACAAGCAGAGCATGCGTGTTCTGTACCATCATTTGTGACTGTGATCTTGCTCTGTATTCATTGGTCAGCTGTGTGAGCATGTCTCTGTACAGTCTGTATCCTCCAGGTTTCAGGTATGATCCATCAGAAATGCCTTTTTTCAGTTTATCAAAGACAGTATGCAGAACAGCCTCACATTGTATGACAGATTCTTCCCTATTCTGCTGGCAAATCTGTTGATATTCATCATAAATTGTCCCCTAAAACAAAAGAAAGAAACATAGAAAAGGTAAGAAACTTAGCCTTTCCAAAGATGTGCACTTTAATTTGAATTTGTTTGTCAGCGGGTACTTTACCATGAGCTCTTTTTGGTAGATTTGGTCATTGTCATTGAAGGACATGGTGATGAAACCTTCAATGGCTTTCTTCTCTGCGACTGTGTGGATGTTGGACAGATCTGCAGGGTCCATAGGAAGCTGAGCCTTGCTGAGCATCTCGGTCATGTAGGACTCCAGGGCCTGTTCCACTGCACGGTTGTTCTGGATCTTAGCCAGAGACACGACTGCGTTCTCCAGACATGGAACCTTCCCGCTGCGGATCGACTCTACGTAAACCTCAGCAAGGTTCCCCAGAGCTGTCAGGAAACACAACTCCATAGTTCAGTCAGTCATTTGTTCTTTCTTTTACTTTTCATTAGTTTCTTCAAACTTATTTATCTGCATAAAACTACTTGAAGTGCTGCTTAAATCTGCTGCAACATTTTTTCTACAGGCGCTTCTGTGAAGGTACACACCAGATCCAGTAATTGTGCGGCCTCCGCTGACAGTTTTTGGATCTGCGTTGTCATAAATGTAATGGCAGAAGGTGTTTGCCTGCTCAAGGAACTCTGAATCCAGATCTTTCTCGGTCAGTTCCTCCATTCTCCTCATGTTTTGCGTACTAGCGGGCCGAGGGAACACAAAGCACTTTCTCACCGCAAAGAAATGACGCAGACAGCGGCGGGGCAGGTTAAACTGCTCAGTCTGAGGCGAGTTACCTAAAATAAGAAATAACATTAAAAAAGCAGTAATAATTGAACTGTTTGGATTTATACAGGTACATGTTTAAGAGTGTATGATTGGATCATAATTTCAGTGATTATTATGCGTCTAGCATGTTGTTTGGTAACAGTTCTTCTAACCATAATTGATGGAAATAACATCTCAACATTTATTTCCATCGAGATTTTCGTTTGAAAATCATTTATTTTTGGTCAAGATCTTGTATTGTCAATGCAAGAGTCGAGCACTCTAAAATCTACACCAGCAAATCCCAAAGATTTTCAATGAATTTAATGTCTGGATTGTTCTTGTCACAAAGCAACTGTGACAGCTGCCGTTGACGAGCGGGAGTAATGTTTGTACTACAGTTTAAAAAAAAAAAAGTTATATTCAACTGCCTAAAAACAAATAAAACATACTAGTGCACACATATTAGGAGCAGTGAACACACACACCCAGAGCAGTGGGCATTTTTGCTGTGGCACCCAGGGAGTGATTGGGGGTTAGATGTCTTGCTCAAGGGAACCTCAGTCATCTGCTGCTGGTATTGAGAATCAAACCCACAACCTTCGGGTTACCAGTGTGACTGTACAACCATTAGGCTACGACTGCCCCTGTGTTATCCAACATGGTTGTTTGAGAAATGAAAAGTCACTGCGATAATGATCTAGTCATAGACTCGTAAGCATTTGCCCATTTAAATCCAAACAGTGAATTTTTTTTTCAGCTGGGCAGTGCATGTACAACAGAAGCTCTCAGCCGAGAGGGCAGGAAACACTAAAAATGTTTAACTGTTTTTTATTTTTATTATTTCTTATGTATGAGAGGTACATAGTCTCACCTGGTTTGAGTTTCAGTGCACTCTCCAGATACTGGTCTGATGTTATTGGGTCACCCCCCATTGTCAGTTCCAGAGTGAAGTCACGAACAGCCCAGACAAACGATGGGAAAACCCGCATGAAATCTGCTGACTCGTCCTCGTCTCGGCTCCCTTCTGCCTTCACACGAATGTTCTCGGTCAGCTCTGTAACGTAGCTATATTCAGTGCTGTTCAGGAAGAATCACACTAATAATATGATGGTGTTTTAAAAAATTTGTTACAGTGAATGTGCATGTTTATTGTGTATTGATGATGGAAGGATACTGCAGCTTTTCCAGTGCCATGTTGTCAATGACCCCTAAGCTGTTGTACACTAGAGTGCTGCTGAGAAGAACAGCCAGACAGAAGATCCACGTGTCATGTTTCTCATCGCCCTGAAACCGAAACAGTCTGTCAGCTACAGAATAAGTGGCCACTTATTTACCTTTACTACAACATCACACAATGTGGGGAACAGAGTTTTAATGCAATATGTCGGTCTTACAAGCACTGTAAAAGACAAAAATTAGTCATACTGAAATTATGGAAATTATTTTACCAACCGAAACATCACTGTGGATGCTGAATGGTCTTCCTCCTCACCTTCTTTACATCACCCAGTCCCTCTGTGTCTAGCAGCACCAGAGTGTGTCCTTCTTTATTGGGGTGAGGGACACACCACATCCAGATGCCTTTGGTCTTTGATTCAATAGTGCCGCCAAGAGCAAAGCCTGAGACAAATGCGCGCACACACACACATACATGTATATATATGTGTATGTATCATAATTTGCAAATAAATTCATTAAAAATCCTACAATGCGATTTTCTGGATATTTTATTTCTCATTTGTCTCTCATAATTGAAGTGTAACGTTACCTATGATGAAAACTACAGGCCTCTCATCTTTTTATGTGGGAGAACTTGCACTAAATACTTTTTTGCCCCACTGTATACACACATACATACCTTACGTATAACACAGCTAGCCTACATGTTTTATTATGATGTTTGTTTTTGATTGTGTTATTTTTCCATAAAATGCTCTCATTGAAAGTTCATATTGAGAGACACATCTGAGCATGTGGGCCAGGCAGGCCTAACCATAAAAATGTATATCTATGGGCCTAACTACGTGAGAGACTTTCAACAGTTTCTCTCACCGGACTGTTGTCCTGCCAGGCGGTTCATAAGGTAGGATTTCCCCGTACGGTAGAGTCCCACCACAGACACCACCACCACCGGCTCCTTGATCCCATCCAGAATGTCTTTAGCCTGTTTCCTAACACACAGCTTCCCATTCTCATCGTTTTCAATGAGACACACCGGAGCGGACACGCCAAACGCCATGACTCCTGATGACTCTGAAGATTCTTACAGCGTGTAAAACTATAACAACAGCTATTTTTACGTTGCTGAACTGTACAGAATAGGCAACACATTATTTAAAGTCTATTTATTTAAAGTTTAAACGTTGTGTCAAAAGATTATAAATACACCTCAAGTCTAAGGTCATTCATTAAAGAAATTGGTAAACAGATGTGATTAATTAGTCGGCAATTACTTTAAGGTTATGTGCTTCACATTACAAAAAGCTTTGAAAACCTGTGAAAATTAGGCCAAAGGTATTTCTACTTTCTGTTTTGACTTTCAAAACCGCTTCTAAAAACGTTATTAATAAGTCGCCCCTCAAAACAAAACTTTAAACATTCTGTTTATCAACATAAATGCTAAAAAGAATGATCTTAGAGCAATTAGTTGATAAAAATAACAAAAAAAAAAAGAAAAAAAAAAGATTGCAATGACAAAACAAGCAACAACGTAAGCAACAACGTACGTCATGTTCTAGTGATTGCATGCTACGACATTATGAAATGACCGTTGTTATTAGGCAGATGAAGTAAAAAAAATAGTTTAAAACCGTTAACGAGGCCCCAGGATTGTGAAACTCTCAAAGTAACAACAGACGTGCAAACTCGCAGAACCTCCTGCGTGTTTGTTGTGATCTTTTCCACCATAAATGGTACAGACAGAGTCGAGGCGTTTTCTCTCATTGGCGAATCAGTCAGTGATGCTACACGAAAGTGAAACTAAAAGCGAAGCAACGCTGGTTCGGTTTGGCATTTGGACAAGGTTTCCCAGAAATCGACCGTTTAAAGTCAACTCCGCAATAAATTTGGGTGGATCGTGAAAAACCCTTGGTCAGTCCTGACCCTCGTTGCGGTACATTATACCTGTAATTCCGTTCTGCGACTAAGAAGCATCGTGGAAGAAAGAGCAGATCTCATCATACTGAGTCGAGACACGATATACATTTAGGGTTATGTAAGTGAACTTTCTTTTCTTTCTTTTGCATTTATTAAAATATGCCGGATATTGTAGGCTAAATCAGTGCAAACATATTAGGCTATCAATGTAATCAGCTCATCCCCCATTCGAAACCTTTAATTGTGCAGTTATACATTGTGATTTTTATTGTCATATATTCTTATTTATATTATAAATTATTTATATTATAACTTTATCATTTAAATATGCATTATTAAACACTGATTCTAAATATGTAAATGTTTTGGAGTTGGTTTGGATTGGTAGGGGGGGGGAGGGGGTTTTGGATTTTTTTGGGATTTGAATTATCTGCGGCTGATAAATAGGCTAACTAGTGTTTTCCTATTTGAGACCACACTTATTTTCCTTTTGGCGGCTTCGGAAAACATTTAGAATCACATAATCTCAGGACGTTTGTTGTTCCTTAATTCCTTTCCAAAAATCGATACATTTTTATTATAATATTTACCTATGTTAATGTAGCTTATTATTGCTATTATATAATTATTTTAATAAATTATTTATAATAATATATAACATTATCTTTTACTTGTAGTCCTTTTGATCTGTGGTGATGTGATGTCAAATGGCTAAATGAAAGTGGGCAGCAATTGTGAGATGGTCCTCACTGCGGAACACAAAACCCAGGGGGAGGAGTTACCCATCTCTGCCCCCTGATCCATAACCCCACCCCTAATCCTACCCATCTCCACCCCTTAGATCTGGATCCAACTCCGCCCCCTGATCTTGTGTACTGCAATGAGGTGCTACTGGCATTTGTTGCCACGTCATAAAAGTCTCAAGCTTGATTTCTGGATAAATACATTTATAATATTATTTTATCAATATTTTTTTAAGTCAAGTCATTTATGTAGCACTTTTAAAAATGTAGATTGTTTCAAAGAAGCTTTACAGAATTAAAGATATAATTTAAGGTAACAGAGATTGGTTTGGTTTTAAAGCAGCTCTTGAATAATGTTATTTTCCTGCTGATTGATTCACTTCCATCGAAATGATAATTTCTTATTAAATTAGGGACCGCTAAGATGATTGCTGATCATCTGGATGCTAATGGCATATTCACGTTCACATTCGCATTAAGAATTGAGTCTATAGGCCTATGTGGGTTTGAATATGTGCACAGGTTTGTAATTCCCTCAAACCATGCCTAAACAAACTACTTGTCTTGCCTCTAAATTTTGATACAGAATTGTATTTTATTTTTATTACTTCTGGGTTGTACGTGAACCATAATTTCCTCAACGCTTTATCTGTAGAGTGGAATAGAGATCCTCCATACGGAGATTCTATTTGGCACTTCAGCACTGCGTTGGGTAGGTCCTTCATCAGATCTGGAAATGGCCTGGATCCGGCAGGTTGCCGGAAAACATCAGGATAAACATAGACACCAAAATTAGCATAGATGCCATTCTTCTTATGGTGTAACGAGTACATCAGGATTTAATGGAAGTGTTCCCAGTTCCGGCTGATCTAATCTATGCAGATGACATTGAATTATGGAAGTCGATAATATGTGTATGCTAGGTCAAAGAGATGTGTTTTTAGTCTAGCTCTGAACTGACAGAGAGTGTCTGCTTCCCAGACAACGTTAGGAAGATTGTTCTGAAGTTTTGGTGCTAAACAGGAAAAGGATCTACTGCCAGCAGTTGATTTTGATATTCTGTAGGTAACTGGCTGGAACTTTGAAATCGCAATAGACAAAGGACTATAATGTTTTAAGAGCTAATTCAAGTACTGCAGAGCTTAACCATTTAATGCTTTTCAAGTAATCAGCAATATTTTGAAATGTATATGATGTTTAATAGGCAGCCAATGCAGGCTTGACAGAACCGGGCGAATATGATCATATACTTCCTGGTTCTGGTATAAGAACTCGAGCTGCTTTGAACCAGCTGTAGTTTGTTTATTAAGTGTACAGGGCAACCACCCAGTAGAGCATTATAATAATCTAGCCTTGATGTCATGAACACATGAACTAACTGTTCCGCATTTGTCAATGAGAGCATATGGTGTAATTTAGATATAGTTTTAAGATGGAAAAATGTGGTTTTACAGATAATAGACACGTGACTTTGGTATCAAAGAGCACACCCAGGTTCCCAACTGACGAGTGTTAGAGCCATCAAGTGTTGGACAGTTTTCTAGGTTATTACGCGAGGACGTTTTTCGTCCAATAATTAGAATCTCTGTTTTTTCAGAATTTAGTTGTAGGAAATTACTATAGTCATCCAATTTTTTATATCAGCTATGCATTCCATTAGTTTTGTGAATTGATAAGTTTTGTTAGGTTAGGTTAACAAACCATACAAATGAGACATATTATACTATATTTATCCAATCCTAGCAGCATTGAATACAGAAAGACAATACTGAAATCATAATTCTTGTAGCATAATAAAGCATGTGAGTTTTAAGAACAGAATTAACTACGGAAGAATTAACAACATGAACAGGTCTCTGGTGTATATGAAGGATCATAATGACAGTGACCATTTCACACTGTTTTTATAGAGATGAAAAAAATAGGTTTTTAGTGGCTAACACAGACTATAAATGGTATAGTATATTTGAAAGTCCATGAAGAATTAATTGTTTTGAGGGATGTTGTGTCTACAGGTTTTGTACATTTTGTTTACAGTACCCAAATGATAATTCCCCTCTTTAGCCAACAGGAAGAGCTAGAGAGAGTCAGCATGTCTAATGCCAGAATGTCTTCACCCATTTGTTTGGTGGAGAATGTGAACGGATCTCTCCACGTCTGTAAGGATGCCATTGAGCTCTTGAGTAAAATCAAGGAGCCGGTGGTGGTGGTGTCTGTGGTGGGACTCTACCGTACGGGGAAGTCCTACCTTATGAACCGACTGGCAGGACAACAGTCCGGTGAGTTGACACGCCAACTTAATCTGTGAATATTAGGTACATCGTGCTAATAATAATAAAAAAATCAAATTCCCTCAGGCTTTGCTCTTGGCAACACTATTGAGTCGAAAACCAAAGGTATCTGGATGTGGTGTGTCCCTCACCCCTATAAAGAAGGACACACTCTGGTGCTGCTGGACACAGAGGGACTGGGTGATGTGGACAAGGTGAGGATAAGGATTGATGTAGATTTGTTAATATTGTTAAATGGTCGATGCTTTGATTTTGAAGACGCTGTGTTTCAGGGAGACTCTAAGAATGACGGCTGGATTTTTTCTCTGGCCGTTCTGCTCAGCAGCACTCTGGTGTACAACAGCCGCGGCACCATCGATAACAATGCAGTGGAAAATCTGCAGTATCCTTTAATCGGCCACGTAACCCACATCCTCTTTCAAATATACAAACATACACTTTGCAAGATGCTGTTATTTCTCAATGTGCTGCAGCTACGTTAGTGAGCTCGCTGAGCAGATCAAGATCAGATCAACAGCAGACGAGGAGGAAGAGGATTCTCAGTTTGTGCAGTTTTTCCCATCATTCATCTGGGTGGTTAGAGATTTCACCTTGAAACTGGAAATTGATGGACGGAACGTGACTCCGGATGAGTACCTGGAGTTTGCCCTCCAGCTGAAAAAAGGTATTTTAGACAGAAATTCTATAAACGTCGAGCACCAGTATGTGAATATAAATAATTAGACACTAAATATTAACAACAATAAAAAATGTTGACACAATCTTCTTTGGTAAAATGTGTTATGTTTTCCTAAAAACTTAATTCAGGTGTAAATAAGAAAACCAGCGACTACAATCTGCCCCGTCAATGCATCCGAAACTATTTCCCATCCCGGAACTGTTTCGTGTTCCCATCTCCTGCCTCGCCTGAAAACATGAGCCGCTTAGAAAGCTTGCAAGAACGGGACCTTGTAGCAGATTTTCTGCAGGTCACGGGTCGTTTTTGTGACCACATCTTTCACAGGAGTGCAGTGAAAACACTGAAAGGAGGACACAAAGTTACTGGCAATTGTGAGTGTTTTACCAGTTTAAGTTATCGGAAATTTTCAGTGTTCAGAGTGTGAACTTCAACCTATAAGCCTTTATACTTTTGAAAAGGTTAAAAGTGTTTGTGTGTGTTGTCAGTGCTCGGGCACCTGGTGAAGATTTATGTGGATACAATCAGCAGTGGGAAGATGCCCTGTCTGGAGAATGCAGTGGTTACCCTCGCAAATCTAGAGAACCAGGCAGCTGTTCAAGAAGCGTTGATGGTGTATCAGAGCGGGATGGAAGAGGTAAGACACACAATTTCATATATTTAGTTAGCATTGATAGTCTGCAAACTGTCCTTGACTCATCTAAAGCTGATTTGATATGATGTTAAATAAAATTACACATATACAGGTCACCTACAGCAGGCCATAGTTTAAAGCATCATGTTATTAATTTAACATGTTAATATTCAATAAATAAATAAAGCAATAATTAAAATATATATTTTTTTACTGAACAGTTTTAATTGAAGTACTCTAATTTAATTGTTACAGCCATCCAGTGACAAAGCATGTTGTTCTTTGCAGGTGAAGAACAAGTTCCCAGTAAATGTGGATGATATTGCCACTGGGCACCAGAAGTTCAGCAGGCTGGCCACCTCTGAGTTTATGAAACGCTCTTTTAAAGATGAAAAAGGAGAATACCTAAAAAAACTAGTGGTGAGTTTTTAAATGCACAATTGTATGCACGCTCATTTTAATGCAGCTATATTCCTAAATTAATATTGCTATAATATAGTTAATTAATCATTGTGCTTTATTTTAAATTATATTTAGCTGAAGTCGTTATATATTGTCGTTGAAGGGGGGCATAGATGGACCAATATCTCAGCTATTATAACAGACTTTTTCCAGTGTGTATATGTGATGTATGTACTTTATGTGTGTGTATGTTTAGGAAAACATAGATGTACACTATGTAGGCCTGCTGAAAGAGAATGAGATGGCGTCAGAGAGAAAGTGTCAAGATCTGCTGAAGAATCTGTTCTCTGACATGAATAAACGGCTGCAGAATGGAGAGTACAGTCAGTCTGGAGGACATGAACTCTACTGCAGAGACAGGGACGCCATTGTTGAGAAGTTCCGTAGAGAACCCAACAAAGGCGTATCGGTGAGGACACGTTTTGTGCATTTTTATGTAATGGTTCCTTGAGTAAAAAAGAGTTATGAGTATGTCTATAGATGTTCTCAAATACAGATGTTTATGTGCAGGCTGAGGCCGTGCTGAACGAGTTTCTGAATGAGCGAGGAGCTGAAGCAAACAGCATCCTCTACACAGACACAAAACTCACTGAAAACGACAGAAAGATTCAAGGTAAATCTTTACCAACCTTAAGAATATTTGTAATTCATTAGCCAGTTTCATCCTGCAGCATTTGTAATTGAAAAAATCCATATGAAATGGAAACCAAACCCAAATTCTTAAAGCATCTTGGGAGTTCAGATTCGGGAGGTTTAGTATTAGCATCAGGGGCACACTGGTAACCCGAAGGTTGCGGGTTTGATTGTCAATACTAGAAGCAGATGACTGAGGTTTCCTTTGAGCAAGGCATCTAACACCCAATCGCCACAGCAAAAATGGCTGCCCACTGCTCTGGGTCTGTGTGTCCACGGTTTGCAGTGTGTGTAGTGTGTTACTACTCCTAATGTGCGGACTAACTAGGCTAGGTTAAATGCAGTGGACAAATTCCGAGTATGGGTTACCATATATTTTCACTCTGCACTTTCACTTAGCATCATGTTTCACATCAGTTCTCTCCTTTTTTATCTGACAGAAGAAAAGGAGAAGAATGCTCTGCTGGAAAGGAAGTATAAAGAGGAAGAGGAGAAACGCATTCAGGTTGAACGAATGACGCAGGCAGAAAAAGAGCGGCAGGAGGACCGAATGAGGCAGATGGAGGAAAAGTTTTACCAGGAGAGGGACCAGCTGCAGAAGGAGATGGACAGAGCCATTGAGAGCAAACTGAAGGAGCAGGCGGAGATGCTAAACAAAGGCTTTAGGGAGAAAGCTGATTTTCTGAATGAAGAGATAACGAATCTTAAAAAAGAAAAGGAAGAGAAAAGTTCTGAGGGATTTGTGAAGGAATATTTGACGCCTATTGTTGGAGCTGTATCAGAAATCCTTCCTGCCTTACTCCAATACAAGGTGATGATGAAAGGACTCAAATCTAAATAAATACCACTTTAATGCAAATCACTATTGAATTAAAAATTTATTCATTTAAAGTTATGGCTTACAAAACTCAATCATGCGTGTTTTTTATTTAGTAAGATTATATTTAGCAGAGATGGAAAGACAATATTCTACTCAAGTAAAAGTACTACTATTTTCCTTTACAAGTAAAATTACCGGTCTAAAAATCTACTCAAGTAAAAGTAAAAAGTAGCTCATTTAAAATTTACTCAGAGAAAAAAACTTTTTTTTGGTTCATTTTTTAACAGCAAGGGTGCGTAACTCTCCTGTGTGGGTTGTAATGGTAGGAGATTTCCACAGTGTGATGACTCAATTCAAGACAATATCACGGTTTACAGTATTAATCAATTATTAAATAAATAAACAGAATTACTAAATTATGGTTATTATTATTATTATTATCATCAGTTAAAATGACCGTTAAATTAACGAAAACAGGGTTTTTTTTATTGAACAAATGCTTTTACTAAAACAAACTTGAAACCATTTGTTTGTCTTTATTAAAATTTAAATAAAACATGTCTAATCAGTTAAAAACAATTGAAAATGAATTAGATTAACTACTTATTTTTTTAACATTGATCATTTAGTAAAATGTTTAAGAATAATATAGTCCTATGAAATGTATTTTATTCAGAAAATGTATGTTTCTTTTTATGATTTAATCCAAATATATTATCAAAAACAGTGGTAATCAAATGCAAATTTAAACTTGTGTCCCTTTATTTTTGGGGGAAGCACTGCAAAAACAGATTGTCTAAAATAATCCATGGACAAAAATATATATGTTCCTTTTTAAATAATGTTTAAATAAAATGTATTGTTGTTCTTATTTTGAGAAGTATGTTCTATTGTATGCCTAGATTTCCTAACTTTTAAGTTGTAGTGAAGAATTGTTTCAAAGTGTATTTGACAATGGTTTTTCTCAAATAAAATTATGAAAATGCTCGTTAGGCGTTCTCTCAGAGCATCTCTGGAAATGTTCATTAATTCATATCCTCAAATTGTTTGTGAGACGCTGAAAACACCATAAAAATGTCACGCTTACTTGAGTATGTAGCCTAGACAAAGTGCCGCAGCTGAGCAGAACAAATAGATTATATTTTTAGATAGCAGTATTTTTGTGCTTGGAAATTCACAGACCATGTCGGATTTATTGCACAGTTCTACTTTCCATGTATGCATCCATTCATTATTTTGTGCGTTAGTAGCGTTAGTAGGCTAAATTCCATTTTCATGACTGGATTCCGGAACAAAATTTTCGGAAACCCAAACCCTCAATTTGTTGTTTCCTTCTCAAATGTGATTGGATTTTGCAGAAGCCACTGATTGGGACAGGCTATCAGCAATCACCCTCAGCTTTCCGCCAAAGTCAACTCCATGATCAGATTTAGATAAGAGACGAAACCATGAACGAAACAATGGATGAAGACACAGCAGGTCCATCCCGTAAATGTGTCAACCAGTGGCTATTTAAATTTTCTGAATTTTCTGAAATTTTCATATTAAATAAAGCAACATGGCAAAAAGATGAAAATGACTTGATTTTACTTTCAATTCCATTTACATTCTCCAAGGTATTATCATCAACATTTTTCATTACTCCTCTCCATGTAGGACGTTTCTGTACATAGGCCTATATGTCAGCACTGTGGCAGTAGTAATGCAATATAAAAGTGTGCTCTTGTACTCTTGATATTCAAGTAAAGCTACTTTTTAAAAAGTACTTCAGTACTTTTACTTAAGTAGGTCTGACTGTAGTACTTACTTGAGTAAAATTTAGCAAGGGGTATCTGTACTTTTACTCAAAGTACTTTAGTGGATGTGTATGGAGGATGGAAGGATACTGCAGCTTTTCCAGTGCCATGTTGTCAATGACCCTAAGCTGTTGTACACTAGACTCGAGTGCTGCTGAGAAGAACAGCCAGACAGAAGATCCACGTGTCAAGTTTCTCATCCCCCTGAAACAGAAACAGTCTGTCAGAATAAGTGGCCACTTATTTATACAACATCACACAATGTGGGGAACAGAGTTTTAATGCAATATGTCTGTCTTACAGGCACTGTAAAAGATAAAAATTAGTCATACTGAAATTATGGTTTATTTTGTTGTAGTGGAGGTTTTTGCTAAATGAAAATTAAGTCTTCAATGACTATCTGGGCCATCAAGTTTCAATCGCTTAGGCATCCTATGTAGCAGTGATCCACCTCTCAAATCAAAAATACCTTCATTTGTGTTCGAGCAAGGGGTTGAGTAATTAATGACTTAATTTTCAATTTGGGTACTTAGCGATAATATCTGTGTTTATCAAGCTATCTCAAGTATTTTCATGATGAATGTATCTAAATGTAACGGAGGTACTTTTCTAACGGGACTTTTATTTTGACGGGGTTTTTCTTTTTCCGGTGTGCTCGCGCAGAGACGTCTGGGAAGGAGAAGGGTGAGGAGGAGAATTCGAGAGTTTCGCTGAAAACGAGAAGAAAAAACGGTCAGATTGAGTTTTATGAGTTTAGAGTATACCTATATCGTCGTGTGACACGAGAACCGCAATTAGAGCTGAAGTTCGGTCGGTTATATCTTCGGACGGAGAACAGTGTTGTTGGAAGCTTGGCTGAGTGCACGAGGAAGATTGCTGCCTGGAGTCGTGAGTTCATTCATAACACTGCCGGGTGTCGTCGTTGCTTTAACCGAACATATTTTCAAGAGCCTACTGTTTTTTTTCTGAAGTGATGTGAACTGTGTGGAGCGAGAGTTTTCTGCCTGCAGTCCGTTTAAGTGCACTTGTTAGTGAACAAGATCGCGTGTGCAGACTGCAAGAGTAGTTTTTGGAGTGAATCGTTTTAGTTTTGTCTATAAAGGGACTGAAAATCGTTCCGGACCAGTGTGTATTTTTGAGAGACATTTTTTTTTGTATGATCCAGATCATTCCGTGTACGCGAGCCGCGTGAGAGCTGAACTGAGTCGTTTTGTTTTAGGAAGATTTTTTGGAGGGCCACACTAAAACTTTTCTCGTGATTTTTATTTTTTTTGCTTATTACCCTGCCATCCTGACGACGTCTCGCTGTTCTGTCTCAACTGTTCATTAAATCATCACAGGTCATCATCACAAGCCTTCACGAATCTCCTAAAAGTCTTCAAAGTCATTGCTTCGAAGCCGTCGTTGCCACAGACTGGTACAACATTTCAGTACACACACGTACACATGAACATATGAACATTTTACTGAATCAGAATGGACTGAACTGAATGTTTGAACAAACTGATTGTTTCAATTGTAAGTTTGAACTGTGATTGCTGAGTTGATTGAAAGCTGAATCATAAGATTGATTCAAAAGAGTCGTTTAGTGATTTCAAGGTTAACTATGCATGTGAAATGGGTCATTTGAAGTGAGTCATTTAATGGAATGAGTTATTTGAATTGAATCACAAAAGTTATTTGTACTCAGGGTTGTGAATAAGTTTTTCTGTGTTTAATGAGAATATCCTTATCCAGATAATAAGGTTGGGTAAACACTTTGGAGGTGTTTAAAGGTGTTGTTCTGAATATATTAGTCAGTTGAAGATCATTCAAGAAAACAAGAACACTAGAACTGTTATTTTATTTTTTTTATTTTGATTGTCATTTTATTTGTTTGAGCTGTCTCTTTCAGCAAATACGTAACCTATTGAGGGAAGAAAAATAAATTATTAGTTGTTCAAACTAAAATATTTGACAGTTATTTCTGAACTTATCTTGGGGTAGGGGCATCTCGCTTACACTATTAGGATTAGGTGGGTGGGGACGTGACTTCAAATTATTTCCATTTCACTTCATGCACTTTAGGAAGCCACCGCTCTGACATACTTACCTGAAGCCTACACCACGTATTCCTTTTGCATTTTGTAGTAGTGTAAGATAAAACATACACTTTAGTGCATACTGCATACTGAGACTTAAAAGAACTGGAGCGGGGACTAAGTTCCTTTCGCTTCTAAATCTCCCAGGGTAACTATTTAAATATTCCCCTACTAGGCGAGACTTAAAGTCCCGTTACATAAAGGGAGAGGTCACCCAAAATTATAAATTCCTCACCCATGATTTGCTCACCCTCAAGCCATCATACACGACATTCTTCTTTAAGACGAATACAATCGGAGTTATAAAATAAAATGTCAACATGCCTAACTGATCCAACTGGTTGCCAAGTGTTTTTCCGCACAAAAAGTATTCTCGTCGCTTGATAAACTTATACTTGAGCCACTGTTGTCACATGGAATATTTAATCTATTTTCTTCAATGACTTTCTGGGCCGTCAAGTTTTTATTAGGCATCGATGTACCAGTGATAGAGCTTTCAAATTGAATCAAAAATACCTTCATTTGAGCTCCGAAGACGAACGAAGGTCTTACGGAGTTGGAACAGCATGGGGGTGAGTAATTAATGACTTAATTTTCATTTTTGGGTGAACTAACCCTTTAATGAACCATTCTGTAAAAGAAAAGGACCTCCCAGAAGCCAAATCCTGGCTGACATGTGAGTTTTAGCGCTCCATATAGGGCTAGCTATCATCTTTTGGGTAAAAATAGAAAAACAAGTCTAAAGTACTTTGTAACGTAGTTACTTGAGTAGTTTTTAAGCAAACTGCTTATTTACTCTTAAATGAGTCATTATTTTTCAGTACTTCTACTGAAGTAACAAGGTGAGGATAAGGGTTGAACTGTAGATTTGTTAATATTGTTAAATGGTCGATGCTTTGATTTTGAAGACGCTGTGTTTCAGGGAGACTCTAAGAATGCTGGATTTTTTTCTCTGGCCGTTCTGCTCAGCAGCACTCTGGTGTACAACAGCCGCGGCACCATCAATAACAATCCAGCGGCCACATAACCCACATCCTCTTTCAAATATACAAACATACACTTTGCAAGATGCTGTTATTTCTCAATGTGCTACAAGAAATGGTGGCATGTAAAGCTTGAATTGCGCAGTCATGACAAATTTGTTCCAAACCGGAAGGCTAGTTTTCCATGGGTGCTCAGGAATTTCCTCTTGATTTTTAGACTAGCTGATGTGTAAAATAATGTCTGTGATTAACTATACTTGGAAAGACGTTCCACAAAAACACAGTCATACCTAAAAAATAATTTTGAAGCCTTTTTTAATAACGCAACATGCTGAAAGGTGCTCTAAGCGATGTCACACGTTTTTTAGGCCCAAACATTTTTTTTGTCACATACAACATCTCCTCACTATCCGCTACCTGCCTGTCCCCTAGACACACTATAAAAAACGCGGCCTATGCAGACAACCCAGGCTCCACAAATGGCAACAAAAACAAACTGCGGCAACCCGCTCCAAGAAACATGACAAACTGTTCCAGCCAATAACTGAGAAGAAGGCCCTGGGGGTGGGGTTTGGGGGGTCAGTGCAGATGAGGAGGAGGGAGGGTCTATCTAGCCTCCGTTTTGTTTGAAAATACTTTAAACGTCAACAAGAAGTCACGTCACCCGACATCACTTAGAGCACCTTCAAGTTGCTATATCACAAATTCAGCTTTTAAATGGTTGTACTTCTTGTCCTTCTGTTGTTGGCACAAATTAGACAGGACATTGCATAATACAAATTTAATACAAAACATACTACTTTAAGTACAGTACCATTTCTCAGATGTGGTAATTCTCAGACCTTTTTAAAATATTTAATTCAAACATACATTGATATTTTAAATCCTAGTTAAAGTACTCCACATATACCGTAGTTCAGTCTGTTTTGTAGTAGTCAAAATATTTTATAATATATTATATATAGACTGCCTAAAAGTAACAAGTAGGCATTTGTTTTATTTACATAATTTATAAAACATTTTAATTGAGTTTAATTCATGGTAGTTAAATTCTTGAACCTAAGTGCAACCAAAAGTCATCCTTTTGGACTTCAGTTATGGAAGTTTTGTGTTACACTCTGTTACAAAATCTGTTACTGCCACA